TTGTTTGTTCGTTTATTTATTTGTTTGTTTTTGAGACAGGTTCTCACTATGCAGTCTGGACAGGCCTTGAATTCACTATGCTAGCCTTGAACTCTGGGTGATCCTCCTGCCTCAGTCTCCCGAGTGCTGGGATTACAGTTGTCTGCCAGCATGCCTGGCTGTTTAAATCATTTTGCAGTATAATTTATGTACAGTAAAATTTGGCCTTTTTGGTGTAAAGTTCTGGTGTAAAGTTTTGGTGTAAAGTTCTTTTTGGTGTAAAGTTGTTTTTTTTTTTCAAAGTTATTCTGAATGGCACACAGAAACATGAAAGTTGTGTGTGTTGATAGCGTGCAGTAAAACGCTTAGATACATAGGCACTTTATGTGATGTTTAAATGAGGGCGAACTTATCTATCTTTGTCCTTGGGCTGGGGCTGTAGCTCAGAGTAGAGTTCTTGCCTGACATGTGTGCGGCCCTGCATTTGGTCTGCGCCCTGCCAGACCGACGCTTTAACACAAACCTGTCCATGTCTCACACGTGGTCGTCTCCTGTGGTGGGAACGTTCACCGTCTCCTCCTCCAGCGTTTGGACGTGTCCTCGCCTGGGGTTGCCCCGCAGTGCCGCTGTCCCCAGGGCTTCCTGCTCCTGTCTGACTACAGTTTACACCCCCCGACCAACCTGACCCAGCCCTGCTTCCCTCTCTCGCGTGTCCCTCGGCTTCTGGTCACCACAGTGCTGCGGCTCCGGGGTGCACGGGACCGAGTCCTGTGGCCTTCGCACAACCACTGTGCGTGTCAGTGTGCGGAGCCCTCGGCCGAGCCCTGCACCACGCCGTTCCGTCCTCACTGGCCTTTGGCGTTTTCCAGGGGCCCTGTGGATGCGATCGGACAGGGCGCGGAGGAAGACGGAAACATCTTGCCCTCGGCTTTGTTTGCAGGTGTGCATGATTTCTCTTGTCATTGTCTAGGCTGGACGCTTAGGTGCTTGGGAAGTTACTACTTTTCTTTCTTTCTTTCTTTCTTTCTTTCTTTCTTTCTTTCTTTCTTTCTTTCTCTGTCTCTCTCTGTCTGTCTCTGTCTTTCTCTGTCTCTGTCTCTCTCTGTCTCTTTCTTTCTTTCTTTCTTTCTTTCTCTTCTTTCTCTTCTTTCTCTTCTTTCTCTTCTTTCTCTTCTTTCTTTTCTTTTCTTTCTTTCTTTTTTTAAAATTCGGCTTCCTGGAGCCGCCTTGTGAAATGAAAAGGCTCCTCCCAGATGCTGCCGCCGCCCGCCCAGGAAATGGCCCGTCCTGCCCTCGCACGTGCCCTGGTGCTTGCGGCCCGGCTGTCTGCCTGCCTCGGGGATCGAGGATGACAGCGAAGGGCTGGTGACGGCGCAGCGGCTCTCAGGGTTCCTCTCCTTGTGCTCGGCTCAGCGCGGGTCTGGAAGAGCCTGGAAATGTGTCTGCGGACCGGGACGCTTTTCCTTGCCAGTCTTTCCCGCACCCTGCGGTGTAACAGCCGTTGACCTAACGTGTCCGCAGCACTGGGTGCTGTACGTCACCCAGAGGTGCTTGAAAGCCTGTGGCAAGATCGAAGAGGTTTTTTGAAAATTCCACGAAAGGGGTTTGAACTTCTGTCAGTTTTGGTATCCGCAGGGGTTCTTGGGATTAATCCCCCAGCGATGGCCGAGGGATGATTATAATAATAATCATAATGCTAATGTGATGATAAAATTATTATTAATAATAATAATGGAACCCAGGAGTGCTGGGCTGTACCCTCAGCCTGTTCTGTTATTTTATTTTGAAGCAGGGTCTTGCCGGGTGGCCCAGGCTGGCCTCGAACTTGCCCCCCCCTTGCCTCAGCCCCCCTCCCAGTGGCTGGGATCAGAGACCCGCAGCACCACACCCAGCTCTGTGTGCAGAGATCTCTGTGATGTGCCTTTTAGGCCGTGAAAGTATTAGGTCGGTCGTCCTCAGGTTTTGTGGCACCGAGGACCTGTTTGTGAAAGACAGCTTTCCACAGAGGGCTGGTGTCGGGGTGGAGGGCGTGATGCGGGATGAGAAATGCTATTTCCCCCTCTCCCTGCGGAGTCCTGGTTCGGATTAAGTGTGCATCTGGTGTGTACTAAGCAGACCCTGAACACCTTTCACAGAAGTTGGTGGGCTTCTCCCAGTCAGCCCTATCTTGCTTAATTCTCTTCACCTCCATGTAAACAGAATGTGTGTTGATGTGGACTTGGCGTGTGATTTTCCAGGATCAGGGTGGTCTGTGGAGGTCCCACAGCTGGAAGTTCTTGGATGACTTTTTGAGCCATTGTCTAAAAGTGGAAGACCTGTGGCTCTTTGGGCCGGCACCTACAGATCCCCTGCTGGGTACCTGCTCTTAGGACCCAGTGTGGGGAGAGGCAGAAAAGCCCATCCCCTAGGACTCTTTTCTAGATGAAGAAAAAGCATCCTACATGACTTTCTAAAGTAATAAATGCAATAAGGAAAATTTAAGAAGATGATGTTTGGGAACATGGTTTGAGAAGGAGTAGCGACCTCCTTGAGGGAGGTGAGTGGTGGTCTTTGTCAGGAGTTGGGTGAAATCCGAAAGGTGAGCGGAGCTGTTGCATAGGAGACATTGCCATAGGGTGCACCGGCTAGCAAGAACAGCAGGTGCAAAGGCCCTGCGGCAGGACTGAGCTTGCGTATGTAGAGGGTGGGAGGGAGCCCATGACTGCTGATGTGTGGGCCGGGGAGAGGGCTTGGTGGCATCAGCAAGGACTGGATCCCACAGGGCATGTGGGCTCTGGCAGGGAACTTTCTCTTTTCCTCTAAGCATACGTGGCCCCATAATATTGAAATGAAAGTGAACCAAAATGAAACAGAAGTTTGATTCCTCAGGAGAAACTGGGACCTTGGGGCACTGTTGGTGGGAATGTCAGATCGCTCAGCTACTGTGGAGAACAGCACAAATCTCACAGGCGCATCAGAAAATTAACAGAATTACGGCTGGTGGTGCAGCTCATCAGTAGACACGTACTTAGCATTTGTGGGGCCCTAGATTCCACCCCCAGTGCCGAGAAACAATTAATTAATCTCCAGCTTAACAACTTAACTTCTGGGTCCATAGGCAGAAAAATTGAAAGCGCAGATTTGAGGAGATGTTTGGATGCTCACCTTCCGGGCAGTGTTATCCACAGTAGCCGAAAGGTAGACGCGACCCTCAGCGTCCATGCACAGATGAATGACTAAACAGAAATGGGTCACCCGCGAAGTCCGGTTTCCGGGGCGGAGGTGCAGTTTGGGAAGATGCAGAGATTCTGGAGGCGGGTGGGAGGGGCGGTCGCACACTGCGAGGGTACGTCATGGCCCCGAACTGCGCACTTCAGGATAACCAAGAGGGCCAGTGTATGCTGGGTGCATTTCACCACAGTTTACAAAAAACGTCGGTTTCTCAGTTGTGCTGGCCACATTCCAGCCGCTGCAGGGGAGAAGTGACGCCGTGTTGGGTAGTGAACTTGGACAGGGAGCGTTTCTGTCCACACAGGAAGTTCGGCGGGACGGTGCTCCCCGGTGCAAGGCTACTTCTGTTCCTTGGGAGTAGCCGGTGGAGTTGACTGGGTGCTGTGACAGTCGCAGAGCTTGGGGACTCTTTTTTTCCTTGCAGTACTGGGGATTGAACACTGGGCCTTTAAGCTACAAGCCCCAACACAGCCCCCGTAAAAAAATTTGAAGCGCGGTCTTGCTATGTTACCAAGCTGCCCAGGCTGGGCTTCAGCTTGTGATCCTCCTGCCTCAGCCTCCCAGAGTGCTGGGATTCTAAGCGTCTGTCACCATGCCTGGGGTGAACCTGGGGATTTTGAGTGACTAACACTCCTGGGTTCCACACGCTGTTTCAAGCTCTGCAGGGAGCGTGGGGAGGAAGCATTGTGGAGATTGGGCCAGGCTCGTGGTGGGGGTGGTCTAACCTCTTCCAGGCTGTCTGCCCACTGACAAGTTTGTCAAAGGCCTGGGAAGGAAAAGGAGGTGGGGTGCTCGGGGCCGATAGAGGCCAAGGCACTGCCAGGGAGAGGTTGTTAGGAAGCAGGAGTTGCCGGGCGTGGTGGCGCACGCCTGTAATCCCAGCACTCGGGAGGCTGAGGCAGGAGGATCATTGGGAGTTCCAGACCAGCCTGGGCTGCAAAGTGAGCTCAAGGCCAGCCTGAACTGCACAGCGAGACCCTGCCTCAAAAAGACAAGAAAGGAAGCAGGAGTAGTGCCAGAGGCAGGGACCGTGTATAAGCTGGTGGGACAAGCTGGCGTCCAGGCCTGCCTTGCTCAGCGGACAAATTCAGTGGCCAAGAAAGTCCCCTCGGCCGAAAGTCTGTGCACGGGCTCTGCTGTCACCTTGGGGCGTCTCCTTCTGGACGGGGTTTGTTTTTTTTTTTTTGCAGTGCTGGGGATGGAGCCCAGTGCCTCGCAGACACTGAGGAAGCTCACTCCTGCACGCCACCCTGAGCTCTTTTTTTCTAAATTTTATTTTGTGTGTTTTATTTGGAGGCAGAGTCTCATGACCTTGTCTGGGCTGCCCTTGAGCTTGTTTCCCTCCTCGGGACTTGTGCCTCCGGGGTAGCTGGCCTTGCGGGGCTCTTTCCTGCGGTCTCTGTCTGTTGTCTGTGCCTTTGAGGTGACTCGCTTCATTGTAGCTGCCGAAGATAGAGACTGTATCTGCTATTGGGAATACCGCTTCACGGTGTGCTCCTGTGTGTCTCTCTGCCAACTCTGCGCTCTCTGGCTTGCCCTGAGCGGCCTGAAATCACCATGGAAATCGGCAAGTGCTTTAAGCGAGGGCCTCTCTGCCCCGTCCTTTGGGGACTGATTCGGCCTTCACAGCTCAGCACCGGCTTGGGGGCTTCTGTGAGTTAGCAGATGTTAAGCGAGGGCTGTGGAAGTGTGGCTGCTACTGTTACCGTTATTATTTTGCTTGGCTTCCGTCTGTGAGGCGAGGATTGCTGCATGTGCAGACAGAAATTGGGCGAAGCCCCTGACCCGCTGTGCTGTCTTCCCCTCTGCAGTCTGCCCGACCGCCTGTAAGTCCCACGGCTGTACCGCCGGAGGCCTCTGCTGCCACAGCGAATGCTTGGGCAACTGCTCCGAGCCCGATGACCCTGCCAAGTGCGTGGCTTGCCGCAACTTCTACCTGGACGGCCGGTGTGTGGCGACCTGCCCGCCTCCCTACTACCACTTCCAGGACTGGCGCTGTGTGAACTTCAGCTTCTGCCAGGACCTGCACAATAAGTGCAAGAACTCGCGCAGGCAGGGCTGCCACCAGTACGTCATTCACAACAACAGGTGCATCCCCGAGTGTCCCTCTGGGTACACGATGAATTCCAGCAAGTAAGTCCTGGGCGCCGCGCGGGCGCGGCTCTGGGGAGGGGGGCAGCAAAGGGGGAAGGCGTTGGGGCTGGTGCTGCTGACGGCGAAAGCTGCGGGCGATGGTGATTCACCTGGTAAGCCTGTGCATGCTGGCCCTGGAGGCGCTCACCTGCCATCCCAAGTGCTTGGGAGGCTGAGGCAGGAGGACCATGAGTCTGAGGGTGGGCCAGGCAACTTTGTCTCTCCTAATCAAATAGAAAGAGCTTGGGTGTAGCTTGACAGTAGAGCTCTTGCCCAGCGTGTGTCAGGCCTGGGCTCCCTTCCCAGAGCTGCAGATAGATAAATAAATACATGCTGCTTGCAAAAGCAGAGTTAATTGGCTGTGAACGGGGTTGCTGTCGTTGACAGGATCCTCTGACCGGTGATAGGCTTGGGTCTCTCTGACGCCATTTTGGTCCCATTTTGGTCCTGAGCTTTGATGCAGAAGTTAACAAGTTTATTTTTTCCTCCAAAGGAACAGATAGTAAATATCTGCAGTGTCTTTTACTCCATATCTAAGCTTGCTAGGCATTGCTTCAGAACAGAAGACTTTAAGACGGAAACCTTTCATCTTCCCTGGAGTCCCCTGTGTCCTCAGGAATAGAGGAACCTCATTGTTACATTATTATATTGCTACAGTGTTACCTTATTATATCATTGCATTGTGATGCTGTTACAGTGTTACATTTAGTGGCGCATGCTGTAATCCCAGCCCTCAGGAGGCTGAGGCAGGAGTATTGCTAGGAGTTCGAGGTCAACCTGGGTTACATAGTGAGACCTTGTCTTAAAAAAAAAAAAAGAGGGGCTGGGGATTTAGCTCAGCGGCAAAAGCGCCTGCCTGGCAAGCGCAAGGTCGTGAGTTCGGTTCCTGGTACCGGAGAAAAACAAAAACAAAACAAAACAAAAAAGAATATAGCTGAGGTTCCTCTTGTCTCCTCCAACCAAATCTGGGATTTATGATGGAGTTACACCGGGTGTACTGCTTCAAGGAAGTGGGGAATCACTCCCGCATTATCCCAGGAGCTTCGCTGTTCTTTGAGTCCTGGCACATCAAACCACTTCCTACAATTTGGGTGAGAAATGGCAGCATTTTCTCTCTTTGGCTGTGGATCAGATTTCCTCCCATTTCCAGACGTTTTGTTAGCTTCTGAGATGAGGTATTTCAGCGTCTGGGGCCATAACTGAGGTTAAAAAAATATATTTCCTGGTTCCTTTTTTTTTTTTTAATGTGTGGAAGGTTAAAAAAAACCCACTCAGCACCACAAAACAACACAAAAACAAATCAGAAACAGATGTACGTTGGAAGGCCTTTGGCGGCCCTGCTTACGTAAAAAATCTTCCTCTTCAGACTTGAGAATTGGCCAAGTGAGAGTGTTTTGGTGGGAAATTTTATTTTCCTAGGTGGAGAGAGGGTGGGAACAAAAACTATTTTTATTTTAGTTCTTAGGAACCCTTTTTTTTGGGTGTTTATGGAACCTGAAAGTACAGTATGTTTTGTTTTGCTCATTTTTGATTTAGAAAACAAAACAAATGAAAAACATCAAATGGCTTTGTTGACCCAAAATAGTTCACCATCAACCATTTTGTATCCTGACTAGAACCGTTTTTTTGAGGAGGGGGCAGTTTAAGGGTAAGGCTGGGAAAATGACTGTCTTCCTTTTGATTGCTTCTACCCCATTTGAATAAAGAGTATTAGTGGCTTCTGGGGAAATGTTTATTTGGACGGCACTGGCTTTCAATAACAGGCATTTCCCCTCCTATAACTAAGGTCTAAGAAATATAGCAACTTTCTTTGATATTTGCATTGATGGTGTGTTAAAATAAACTCCCTAAGAAGTACGTCCTTTGTGAGTTGGGTATGGTGGCACGTGCCTGTAATCCCAGCATTTGGGAGGCTGAGGCAGGGGGGACTGCCCCAAGTTCGAGGCCAGCCTGGACTACATAGCAAGACCTTTGAAAAAGAGAGAGAAGAAAAGAAATACTTTGTGACTGTATATCTTTTAGTGCCTGGAATCTTCCCTGATAGAAGGCAAAGTGAGGGATTCCAATAATGATGTGGGCGGTGGTATTTTACTTTATAAGCTGAAAAACATTAAGAAAATATGTTTACTTCTGAAGTGTTCTCATAGGGAAGGCTCTATAGGACTGTTGCGTTAGCTGATGTCGGTTAGAAGCAGATGCGCATCTTTTATACTCCGCGTGGTTTATCTGGATGGGGTGGGAGCAGGGTTCTGGGAACCCACACAGACGCACTAAGATGCCTCACTGTCTGTGGTCACCTGAAGGCCCCGGGTGGGATCTGTGGGGTGCCCTTTCCACATAAGGTGGACTGAAGGTTGAGCCTTCTCTGGGTAGGCGGCACCTGTTGGGAAGAGGATGTAGTAAATCCTCGCCTTTTCTCTCACGCTCTCTCACTCCCTCCAGTTCCCCTCAATGTCAGAGCCCCCCACAACTCCACCTGCCGCCCCATCACATCCGGCCCAGGCGCCTGGACTGGTCTCTCTGCTTATCTTTCTGTTAGCATTCTCGACACACTGGCTGAACAAAGGGGGCTTTTTAAAACCGGCTGTGTGACCATGTGAAGCCACACAGGTGCTCCTGGAGTCACCAGGCAGATTCTACCTGTTTGTCCTCTGAGCCTCTCTGAGCAGTCATTTCATCCACCCAACCCCCTGATCGCTGCGGTCACATGGCTCATCCTCCGACTTTGTCAGGTTCACGCTCAGGCACGTCCCTCCTTGTTAACTCTTTTCACAGCCTTTACCACTAGCTAAAATTTTGAGTGTCACTTTAGTTTTTCTTCCATGCCAGGTCACGAGCGCTGGGAGTGTATCAGTTAGCACCTGCTGCATAACAAGCCTCACTAGTGCAGAATGACATAAAAACAACACACATTTATGAGTTCTTTGACTTTGGGGGTTAGCTTCTGGTTCATCTGGCCGGGCCGTACCGGTGTACCCATGGCTGTGCTGGTTAGGAGAGACCTCTCATGCCTTAGGCCGGTAGCTGGGATCTGTTGCCATGAGGTCTTTTACCACAGATCCAAGAAGAGCGAGACCCCATATGCAAGTGCTGTTCAAGCTTCTGCCTGCTTCACACTTGCTAATGAATACCCCATGGGTCTCAGCCAGCCATGTAGCTAAGTCAGATTGAGCAGGTAGGGAAATAGCTCTTCCTTGTGGGAGAGGCTGGGAGGAGACTTCAAAGAACTTGTGTCCATTTGTAATCACAGAGCAGATGATCTATGTGTTTCACTCATGGGGAGCTGCAGCATGGAACAGGGGCTGGCGAAGGGCCAGAGGGCGAACATTTTCAGCTTTGAGGGCTGTGTGGTCTCTGGCACTGGCTCAGCTCCGACTTGGTCGTGCGCTTAGTGATGTACTGAGCAGCAGTGTTCCAAAGAGCTGCACCTTGCAAAAATGGGTGGTCAGCTGGGTTTGAGCCATGGACTGTGTTTTGCTAATTCTGAGTTTGAGCGTCACCTGTCACACAGGTGCAGAGCCACTATGAGAACCCGAACATTTGGTCACTGTTCTGATGCCACCTGGGGTGTGGCAGCATAATTCCGACCCCAGCCAGGTGGGGTTGTATTCAGACTCCCCAAGAGGAAGGCTCAGTCTTCTGAAAGCCTGCCCTTACCTCAGTTACTGGCTGCACTTTGGAGATTCTCCAGCACACCCACGGTTCTGGCCAACTAACTATACATTTGGGGACTCCACGAGGGCTTTGAGTTTGATCATTTATTAGAACGACTCGGGCCTCTCCATGATATACCGGTCAGCTTTCCCATTCCGGACCCAAAACACTCCATTCCTGCAACTTGGAGGAGGAGAGATTTATTTTGGCATGTAGTCTCAGTGGGTTTAGTGCATGGTTCCCTGGATCCAAGAAGGAAGTGGCCTGGTGGGAGGGCCTGGCGGAGGCAAGCTGCTCACATCATGGCAGTGGGAAGTACATGGGGAAGGAAGGAGCTGAGGATGAGAATCATCCTTGATTGTGAGGTCACACCTCCAGTGACCGCCCGTACCGGGCTCCACCTCCCAGGAGCACATTTAGCTAATGGACTCACCCATGGATGAATCCACTGATGACTACAGCGCCTCCCTGGGCCAGCCACCTTCCACGTGCATGAGTCTTTTGGGGTCATTTAGTTCTAAACTGTAGCTGCACGGAACTGGAGTTTCATTATAAAGGTGCGGGAAGGTAGTCTGGGAGAGTTACACACGGGGAGTCCATGCCCTCACGCTGTGGAATTAGAGCACGCCCCCTTCTCGGTATGCTGATGTGATCCCCACCCAGGGGCTGTACCCAGCTTTGGTGTCTCGGGTTTTTGTTGGGGTCTCACTCTGTAGGCACAAGCTGATCTCTAGCTCCCTCTTCTTCCCTGAGAGGTCGGCAGCTGGAAGCCCCAACCCTTTGATCACATGAGGACTGGAGCGCCCCCTGCAGGTCACCTATGGACCTACACAGTCACCTCAGCCTCCTAATAAACACATTCCCGTCACTCAGGAAACTCCAAGAGTTTTTGAAGCTCTGAACCAGAAACCTGGATGACTACAAGATGCACAGCCCTCTCTTGGCATCTGTGGGGGACTGGGCCCAGGGCCCCCTCAAATACCAAAAGCTGTGAATGTTTAAGGCCCTTGAATAACATAATGTAGTCAGCTGGGCGTGGTGGTGTGTGCCTGTCATCCTAGCACTTTGGAGGCTGAGGCAGGAGGATCGCCACAAGTTGTTCAAGGCTAGCCTGGGCTATCTAGTGAGTCCAAGGCCATAGTGAGAACCTGTCTCAGAAACAAACAAACAGGAAACAGCAATAAGAAAATAGTGTAGTACAGGTTGAGTGTCTCTTTTTCAAAGTGCTTGGAACCAGAAAATTTTAGATTTGGGATTTTTTTTTCTTCAGATTTTGGAATATTTGCACAAACATAATAAATAAGATAGGCTGGGGATGGGGCCCAAGCGTAAACATGAAGTTCATTTTTGTCACATACAAACGTCATACACATGGTTTGAAGGTTATTTTATATAATATATTTTTTAAAAAAAGTTTGTCACATGAAACAAAACAAAGGCTGCCCTGTCCAGGACTCTTTTGGTGAGGGAGGATGGAATGGCATGTTTCAGGGCTGAGGAAGTATCCGCTTTTTTTTTTTTTTTGAGATAGGGTCTCGCTATGCAGTTCAGGCTGACCTTGAGCTCACTTTGTAGCCGAGACTAATCTTAAACTCGCAATGATCTTCCTGCTTCAGCCTCCTGAGTGCTGGGATTACATGCGTGTGCCACCGTACCTGGCCTAAGTATCTGGTTTTGGAGACTTTCAAATTGGGGACAAGCAAGCTGTATTTGCATATGACTGCACCTCTTGCTGTAGTTCACCCCGCATTACCGTTGGTACCTAATGCCGTGGAAACCTGTGTCAAAATCGTCACGCTGTGCTGTGTGGGGTGTAATGGCAGACAAGACTGTACGTGTTCGGTACTGGTGCAGTTTCCCCGAGGCCATCTTGATCTCTGGTTGCTTGAACCCCTGGATGCAGAACTCACAGATCTGAATCACAGAGGTATGAGGGGGTGACTGTAGCCTTCATCATGCCACACCCCCCGAGCTCTCTGAGGAGTCAGGGGCACAGGGATGTGGAAGTAATAGTGGAATGATGGCTACAGACAAGAGGCGATCCTCAGAGCAATGCATAATGATTTTTGTGAGCTGGGCCTGGTGGTACCCACCTATCATCCCAGTGTCTGGGAGGCTGAGGCAGGACGATCACTGTGAGTTCAAGGCCAGGTTGGGCTACATAGGGAGACCTTGTCATACAAAACCAAAAGTGACCAACTAACTAAAAAAAAAAAAAAACAAAAACCAAACAAACAAACTTAAAGAAACAAAAACAAAACCAAAAAAAGCGTTTAAAGCTCTTTCTAAAAAATTTGGTGGGGGGAGGGCCAGGGATATAGCTCAGTGACACAGTGCCCACCGGGTAAGCACCAGGTCCCGAGTTCAAATCCTGGGACCAAAAAATTTTTTTGTTTGTTTTTTGCATGCTGAGCACTTCATGTGGTATATATCATTTATCGTCTGCCAACGTGTGGCTTTGTCATCGTCTCTGTTGCACCCACGAAGAGTCTGAGCCTTTGAAAATGGAACAGTCGGGAATCTTGTAGTTTTGTGGAACGGAATCCCAACCCAAACTGGCTTAAGCAGGGTTAAGGGAGTTTACTGGTGCCCATAGTTTAAGAATTCAGGAAACTGTTTCAGGTATAGCTGCATCCAGGAGCTTGAGTAATGTGCATGACCACCCTCCTTCCATCTTTTGCCTCATTCACTTTGCTGCGTTTGACCTCGGGCAGCTTCTTCCCCTGTGGCCCCAAGCTAGCAAGCTGGCAGCGTCCTCTCAGAGCTTCCAGGAGAGAGGATTTCTCTGTCCAGGAGGTCAGCAAACCCCTCACTGGACTGGCTGGCGCCGTGTGCTTGCCTCTGCGCCTCCACAGGGGTGGATGATGGTAGCCAGCCTGGCCCGGGCCTGTGCCCTGCCTTGACCTAGCATGGCGTGGCTGGCCAGGCACCGAGATGTGTGTGGGGTCCCGTTTGTCAAGAACTTCCAGTGCTGTGAATCTGAGGGTATTAAGCTGCAGACAGGCAAACCCAAGAGCCGCCTGAGTCACCTGCTACCTAGCATGGAGAGTCACAGCAGACACGCAGCGGCAGGGCTCCCATCCCCTTGGAGTTGCGAGCTCGTTTCCGCCATATTGCAATCGTAGCATCCACCGGCCACGTCCTGGTTCCCATCGCCATCGACTGGCCCCGTGGCTCCGGAGCCCCTCTGGGCAGAACGTGGTCCTGGCTTCACAGGGTGCAGTGAGGATCCCGTCCCCCCGGGGTCAGGAGTCGCATTCCGCCCCTGCAGCGTGAAGTGTGCATCTCGATCGGGCAAAACCTTGTGTCCCGGACTTCGGGTAACCCTGTTGGATTTGCCGCTGGAGGAGGAGTGACAGAATACCAACCCTCGCCTCAGGCAGTGGTTTTTATCTGGGTGCCAGTGACTGTCCTCCCTGCCCAGGGACATTTGCATGTCTGGGGACGGTCACACGCTGGGCAGGCGTTGCCGCCGGCAGCCGGGGGGCCAGGAGCTGCGCAGGACGCCGCCCGCTGCTGTGAGGGATGACGTGTCTGCCTGGGGTGTGGGCACGAGCGCGTGACCGAGTCCCTGTGGCCAGTGCTGTGTACGCGCTGCGTGGGGTGCCCTCGTGTGCCCTAACCAGTCTCTCTCTCTCCGCCCCGTCCTCAGCTTGATGTGCACCCCATGCCTGGGCCCCTGCCCCAAGGTGTGTCACCTCCTGGAGGGTGAGAAGACCATCGACTCCGTCACATCGGCCCAGGAGCTTCGAGGCTGCACCGTGGTCAACGGGAGCCTCATCGTCAACATCCGGGGCGGCAGTGAGTGCTGTGGGCAGGGCAGCTGCCGGGCGTCGGGTTCTTTGCCAGCTGAGGGCCGGGGGCAGGTGGCGCGCGCCTGTCATCCAGCAGGAGGCAGGAGGACCGCAAGTTCAAGCTCGGCCCGGGCAACACAGTGACTTAGTGAGACCCTGTCTGGAGATAAAGATTCTTCCTTTTCAAGCTGGGAGTTAGGAGGTCAGGAATCTGCACTTTGTAACAGGCGCCCTTGTAAATCTAGAGATTGAACTTGCAGAAATACTGTGTTGGGCAAAAAGGCATTCTTGTGTTTACTTATTTACCCAGTAAGCGTGGATCGATCACTCACGGGGAACAAGCCGCATGCTTACCGTGATGGATTTTACAACTGAGGAAATCAGGCTGGGTGTGGTACCGCACGCCTGTCATCCCAAATACTGTGCAGGCTGAGGCAGGAGGATCACTGAGGGTTGCAGGCCAACCTGGGCTGCATAGTGAGCCCCTGTGGTACCCAAACCCATGATGCTCAAGTGTCTTCTATTAAATGGTGTGATATTTGCATCAAGCCCCTGCCTGCCCCCAGTAGACGTTGCATCTTCTCTTGAGGGCTTAGAACACCCGGTACAATGTGCAAGTCATGTGAATAGCTGATCTACTGCGCGGTGACCTTTAGAGAATCGTGAGAAGAAAAAGTCTATTGTGTTCCACATAGGTGTAGTTTTTTCCCCAAATACTTTTGTTTTTCATTTGGCTGAATCCACAACTTTAGGACCCGTGGGTGTAGAGGACCAGCTGTATTCAGCTTCGTAGGATGTACCTGTGGTCATCATAGCTCAGCTCTGCTGTTTTGGTGTGAAAACAGTCATAGGCACAGGTTGACACATGGGCAGGCTCTGTTCCAATAAAATCGTATTTATGAAACAGGCTGAAATAGGCTCGTGGGCTGTAGTTTGCCAACAAGTGTAATAGAAATGAAAGGAAGTTGCTATTTTAAGAGGCTTCCACAGTCTGGGGAGGGAAGGATTGAATTGTGAGCCAACAGATATTTGGGGGATATTTTCCTGAAGGAAGGAGGCAGCCAGTGCAAAGGTCCTGAGGCAGGAGTAGGACCAGAAAGGCCTGTGGATTGTTTTCTGAGCATGACAGGTTCGGTACGTTGAAATCAGCTGCAGCCTGCTGGGGACTCCCCACCGTGAGAAACTCTGGGAAGATGAAAACGTTCCTGTGAATCCTCACAGAGTGTTCTCCCCTTCCCACAGACAACCTGGCAGCGGAGCTGGAGGCTAACCTTGGCCTCATTGAAGAGATTACAGGGTACCTGAAGATCCGCCGGTCCTACGCGCTGGTATCACTTTCCTTCTTCCGGAAGTTACGCCTGATTCGAGGGGAAACCTTGGAAATTGGGTAGGTGTCTCCGGTTCTGTGTCTGGGGCTCAAATGCTAATGGGGGAACTTGTGCATTGGAAACACTGAAGGTTTTTTTCTTTAAGAAACCAAAGAGAAAAAAATACATCTATTCCATGAAAGTGCCGGCTAAAACCCTCGGAGGAAGAACTTGTCTTGGGGCTGCCTGGAGGTCCCAACCCCAAAATGTGGGATCCGTTCTAGTTATTCTCAGAATGCTGCAGGGGTTACAGCCCCGCCTGTGGGGGCAGCAGCCGGCTCCCCCTGCCTGGAAGCGGTCTCCACCCCTGGCTTCCCTCCTTATCCCACACCTGTTTTCCTAGTTGGCCCAGGGGACCTCCAGGTACCTCGGATGCAGCAGGTCCCTTCCTTGGCCCATCCATCCCCACTCCTGGAGCCCCCTACCCCCAGCCTGTACCTTCTTGTTGGGGTTCGGGTGACCCTGTTTCAGTACTAAAATAACAGAAATCCAAACTAGGGGTGCTTTGAAACTTAGAGACTCACTCCTGGGCCAGAAATTTAAGGAAGACCACTCAGTTTGGCTATGGAGAACTTGGACCCTTTAACTCTTTGCACTCCTCATGGTCCCAAGGTGGCTGCCCTCTTTTCACCCCGGTCAGCGGAATAGGCAGGAAAAGAGGAAGGGAGCAAGAGAACGAGCCAGCCAGCACCGTGTTTAGACCACGTTCTGGGCTTGCTCGCCAGCTCCTGTTGGTTTTTCTGCCGCGAGGCTGCCCTTTCTGATCAAGTTCAGGCTTTTCGTTTGGATTGTTCCATTGCTTCCTCGCCGGGCTTTCTGGAGCTAGGCCAGTGCTGTCCCAGAGAATTAGGCTGCAAGTCACGTGTGGACTTCAACAGTCACAGGAGCCTCATTTAAAAACCTTCACAGTAGGGGCTGGGGATTTAGCTCAGCGGCAAAGCGCCTGCCTGGCAAGCGCAAGGTTGTGAGTTCGGTTCCCGGTACCGGAGAAAAACCAAAAAAAAAAAAACAACCAAAAAAAAAAAAACTAAAAACCTTCACAGAAACAGATGAGATTCAATGTATTCATCAAGCTTACCTGGCCCCTGATGTCCAGAATGTTATTTCAACATGGAATTCATTGTTAAAAGGTTATCCAGGAGCTCTGTTATTTTATTTATTTTTGGCTACTTCTTTGAAATCGTGGGTTTGGGTGCTGGGGTGACTTGGAACGGCCCCGTTTCAGGTGCTCAGCAGCACATTGATAAGGGCTTCGGCGGGTGACGGGGTGGGTCTCAACCCTTGCCTTTCCCGTTTATCTCCCGCTGGCTGACTGGGTCGTCGTAGGTCACAGATCTAATGGAGTCGGTGAGGTGGTGTAAAACAAGCCCTTCCTCGGCAGAAAGACTGACGCCATCATGAAGAACTCAAATTATAACGAATGTCAGTGAGGCTGAGGGCAAAGGGAACCCTTCTGCACTGCTGGTGGGAGTGTAGCCTGGTGCAGCCACTGTGGACATCCGTGTGGACATTCCTCAAAAATAAAACTAGCAATTCCCTTTGACCCATCTATGCCCTGTCTACATATCTTCCCCAAAAGAGTTAAGGCCGTCATATTACAGTGATCCGTGCACACCCATGGTGATAGCGGCACAGTTCCTAACAGCCAAATGTTGAATGAGGCCATTAACGGATGAATGGATAAAGAAAATGTGTTATTTACATACAGTGGAGTAGTATGCTGCTGTCAAGAAGGATATTCTTGAGGCACTTGTGGGAAAACGGGTACACTTTGAGACTGTAATGTTCAGTGAAAGAAATCAGACACACGAGCTCAAATATCACAAGGTTCCTCTTATGTAAGAAACCCAGGATGTAAACAAAGCAAAGAACAAAATAAAAGATACACAAGAAGACACAGTGTGGTAGATCTTTTGCAAATGGGAAGGGTGCCAAGAGATGGAGGCAGCTGGAGAAATAAAAAGAATTAAAACGTGTGCATGGATCCACGCTCCAAAATGAATGTAATCGTTATGTGTTTGAATTAAAAGTAAAAGAATAAAAAATAAGCCCTTGCAGGATGCCCCTCGCCCTGCTTCCCACTGAGGAAGAGTGTGTGTTCTTTGTCTTGCTGGGGTATGCAGTACAGAGACCGGCCCACCCCAGCTTCCCTGCTGTTTTCTGGCACCCGCTGGCCAAAGCAGGCTCCTCGGTTCCTCCCCTGGGGCGGGGTCTCTTCCCTTGTGTCGTGAATCTGTCCTCCCTGCAGAACCCATGTTCGGTCCGTCCGTGTCCCCTACCGCCCCCAAGACTGAACGCGAACCCTTCCTGGGCCTGCAGACCTGCTCAGCCTGCCCGCTCGCCCCTCAGCGTGTTTCACTGAGTTCGCGCCCAGCACATGGCGGGGCCTGGGGTTGTAGCTGGCGCAGGGCAAGGTCAGCTCTGGGCGCGGCCTCTGCCGTCTCGGTCTGGCAGAGCCCGAAGAGCCGCGTGTGACAGGGCTGCGTGGGTTTCCACAGGAACTACTCTTTCTACGCCTTGGACAACCAGAACCTGAGGCAGCTGTGGGACTGGAGCAAGCACAACCTCACCATCACTCGGGGAAAGCTCTTCTTCCACTACAACCCCAAACTGTGCCTGTCGGAGATTCACAGGATGGAAGAGGTCTCGGGAACCAAGGGGCGCCAGGAGAGGAACGACATCGCCCTGAAGACCAACGGGGACCAGGCATCCTGTAGGTAGTGCTCCCTGGTAACCTGGCTGCCCCGGCTCGGCCCACGCTGGCCTCCAGGGTTGTCGCTGTCTGTGGGAGGGACAGTGCCTTCCCCTGGGTTTCCTGCTGTCTGTAGCGGAGTCTTGCGCTGTGCAGGGAGGTCTGAGTCCTGCTCAGCCCGGGCTGGGTAGAGGCTGAGGGGACAGTCGCCCTCGTGGGGCACTAGCTCCGCAAGGCGGAGGGTGGAGCGAGCCTGGGGAGGAGCTGAGGCGAGGGCTTGCACCTGGGTGGCGGCTATGTTTTTTTTTTTTTTGGTTTTTCTCCGGTACCGGGAACCGAACTCACGACCTTGCGCTTGCCAGGCAGGCGCTTTGCCGCTGAGCTAAATCCCCAGCCCCTGGGTGGCGGCTATGTTGTCCAAGGTCTGACCATCCAGTGTGACTAACGTCTTTTGGTGCTTGCAAGTTACACCTGCTGTGCCGGGCTCGCTAGAGCACACTGTATCCGGACAGATGTTATCCTGAGAATCCCTTCTCTGTGATGACGGGCCAGGTGTCTCTCTCTCTGTCTTTCTGTCTGTCTCTCTGTCTGTCTTTCCATCTGTCTGTCTGTCACACAGAGATGGAACCACTTAGGGACCGGTGGGTCCCCTCTCCCTCTGAACAGCCCCTCCAGGAAAGGTGGGATAAGTAGGTTCCCAGGGAAACGCACTGTCCAATACTGTGGGAGCTTGATTTTTTTTTTTTTTTAACTTTCTAGGTGAAAATGAATTACTTAAATTTTCTCTCATTCGGACGTCTTCTGACAAGATCATGCTGAAGTGGGAGCCCTACTGGCCTCCCGATTTCAGGGACCTCCTGGGATTCATGCTGTTCTACAAGGAGGCGTAAGTAGGGGGGCAAAGTGCCGGGGGAGTGGGGTGGGCGCTCAGGTCCCCTCTGGGCGCCCCTCACCCCTCGCCAGCTGACAGTGTACAACGTCAACAATCATCCCTTTGGCTAAACGAAATCCAAGCGCTTAGTTTTCCCTTTGGAGGTCGTTTTAAATTTAATTCTAAAATTTACTTATTTGTTTAATTGAATTAGTTACTGTTCTAAGTTGTGAGTTGTGTAGTTTAGCTCGTGCCTGGCCAACGTAGCCCCTCTTCAGTACACCCTCGCAGAGGTGTGAAGGAGTTCGCAGGCTGTGCAGCTCTCTCCCTCCAAGCCCAGAATGTTTACATCCTCCGAGACGAGGCCAGGGCCTCCCTGTGTCCTCTAGGGCTGTCCTTGAACTCAGCACGTAACCTAGGCTGACTTTGAATTCCTGGCGATCCTTCTGCCTCAGCTTCCTCAGTACTGGGTTCACAGTTGTGCCCTACCATGCCTGCCTTGTGCTGGAATTTTTCTTTTCCCCTGGACTGGAGATTGAACTCAGGATCTTCCCCCTGCATTACATTGCTACCCCTTTGAAAAATTTTTAAATTTCGAGGTAGGCTGCGCTCGAACTTGCGATGCTCCTGCCTCAGCCTCCTGAGCTGCTGGGATTACAGGTGTACACACACACACACCACAGCCAGCTGGACTTTTAAGTGAGGTCCTCATAGTGGTAATATTAATAAAAGTTTCACCCCTCTGCATGTGTCATGGGCTGGGCTGAGAGCATACACGTTCTCAATAACGCTTGAGGTGGTTTCCCCCATTCGAGGTGTTCCCCTTGGTCACAAAGGCACTGCCTAGAGCCAGCCCTCTGCACACGCTTGCTGAGCTTCACATATTCTGTACATTCCTCCGCTGCCACTGCTCAGCACCGCGAGAGGGTCCACAGCGCGCACTGCTATCCCAGAGAAGATGAGAATTAGAACTTGATTTCTGGCTCCTACCGAGTGCCTGTCATTGAAATACTGAGTGGAGCTGTGGCGAGCCAGGGACTATCCTTATTCCTACATAACTGAGTTGCTGACATTGCTGGCTCCCTCTCTGACTGTCTCCCATCAGTTTTCCTTGGGGTGTAAGAGTTTTGGATAGTTGAGCAGCTAGTCTATAGGATGTAACTTTCCCTGGCCCCTTCTCCGTGGCGCTCGGGGCAGCTGGCGCCTCTTGGTAACCAGCTTCTCCCTTCTGTCCCCAAAGCCCCTATCAGAACGTGACCGAGTTCGACGGGCAGGATGCATGTGGCTCCAACAGCTGGACTGTGGTGGACGTTGACCCGCCGTTGAGATCGAACGACCCCAAGCCGCAGAACCACCCTGGGTGGCTGATGAGGGGTCTCAAGCCCTGGACCCAGTACGCCATCTTCGTCAAGACCTTGGTCACCTTTTCTGACGAGCGCCGGACATACGGGGCCAAGAGCGACATTATCTATGTGCAGACAAACGCCACCAGTGCGTATTGCTTGAGAATTTGAATCTGCTCATGAGTCTGATGTCTTGGCTTTGCTAGGTGGCCCTGAGGGGTGCTGTGCCATACTTGCTTGTGTGGTGACTGGCTTCTGAAGGACCCAGGGATGCCAGGCCTGGTGGTGGATGCCTGAATTCCAGCGCTGGGGAGCCTGAGGCAGGAGAATTCCCCACAAGTTTAAGGCCAGCCTGGGCTACAGAGCGAGTTCAGGGCCAGCCTGAACTGCATAATGAGACCCTGTCTCAAACAGCCAAAACCGAAACAAACAGGCGAAACATTCCTATGGTGCCTAATGTATAGATTAAGCTTTGTCAGGAGCGTGTGCCTAGGAAAAACCCAGCTTCTGCAGGGCTCTGTGTCACATGTGCTGTCAGACGCCCAGGGTGGTGCGGCCGGTGCCCTGAGGGTCAGTGTGTGGACTGCTGAACGCTTTTTTGTTCTATTGTGAAAAGTTTTGCCTGCGACTCTCCCCGCTTCCACATCGTCCCCTGTGTGCTTTATCTCCACTTTTCTTCCCTTATTTTCTTTCTACGCTTTTGCGGGGGCGCAGGGCTGGTCCTGGCAGTGTAGTTACACTATCGACAAAGCCCCGGCCCTGCTGTGGCAGTAGTTCTCAGGTAGGACGACGCTGCTTCCTCAGGAGACATTCAGCAACGTCTGCAGACGTTTTTTGGGGAGGTGGGACCCCTGGTGTTCAGTGAGTGGGGGACCTGGGATGCGGAGCAGCACCCCGCACCCCGCGGTGCGCAGGGTGGCCTTCCGGTGACAAAGAGCTCTCCGGCCCCCAATGTCCGCGGGCCACGGGGACAAACCTGTCCCCCAGGGCGGGCCCCAAACCTTGGGAATCAGCCCTCGCTGCTTCGGCTGCTGCGCGCTCATCCGGCGTCTTCCAGCGGCAGGCGGAGTTGGGTGGCGGCAGACCCCCGCCCCAGGCCTCTGCGGCGCCCCGGCCTCCTCCTGGAAGGCGGTGCTTTGTGGCGCCCACGGGTGGTGCATTTTGTGGGTGTGACGCCAGCTCAGCAGCTGCATCCAGCGCGTTTGTCCGGTGACTGGGTTCCCCCCGGAACACTACAACCCAGGGAAGACGGCTGTCGCTCCCTCCCGCGGGGCGGCCCCTCCAGAGCAGAGAGGGCAACCCCTGTGGTCCGAGTGGACCCCACGGGGCAGCGGCCCGCTCCCTGGCTTTCTGTGATGCGTGGTGACCCCGCAGACGGCAGCCCTGGCCTGGGTCACTCGGGCGTCATTTCCTTTGTCCTCTGCAGACCCGTCTGTCCCGCTGGACCCCCTCTCCGTGTCTAACTCCTCATCCCAGATTATCCTGAAGTGGAAGCCCCCCTCGGACCCCAACGGCAACATCACGCACTACCTGGTCTACTGGCAGAGGCAGGAGGAGGACAGCGAGCTGTATGAGCTGGATTATTGCCTCAAAGGTGAGTGGAGGCCAGTGTGATGGCATCAGCCCGGGTTTGCCCCGCCGGGAGGGACTTTCACCATGACACGTGCCCCGTGTATGTGCCAACGCGTCTCTTGGAAAAACACACATACACTGATTTTTTTTTTCAGCACTGGGGATTGAATCAAAAGTCATCACCTAGTGCTGAGCTCCAGCCTGAGATCCTCCTGCCTCAGCCTCCCATTGTGTTGGGATGACAGGCGCGTGTTACCATGTTTTTAAATACTGCATACAACCACCCATTCTGAGTGCTCCACATACAATCATGGGACACATTACAGACATGTCGGTCAACAGTGAACACTGCGGCCTTGCTAGCTTTTGTGAATACGGCCTGTGCTTGTGGCATGGTGGTGAAATCACCCAGTACGTAATTTCGCAGTATCCCCGCAAGAAGTGATGTGTGACTTCATTCCTCGTGGCTTGACTCCATTTCCCTCTGGAATTTTCTGCCCTCCTCGTTGCTTTGCTTCTCCTGCGCTGAAAAGGATGTAGTGTAGGAACCCACATAAGCGCTAGAAACACAACCATGCATGTGCGAGGTTATTGACAAAACTGAAGAAGGACTTTTGGCCTCGCCAAGACCCCATAGTTTTGTTTTATTGTTGTTGTTGTTTTGTTTTGTTCTTTTCAGTGCTAGGGTTGGAATCCACAGCCTCATGCATGCTAAACAAATGCTCTACCACTGAGCTAAACTCCTGCCTGCCCCCGGCTTTTTTTTTTTAAATTTCATTTTAAGACAGTGTCGCAGTAAGTTGCTCAGGGTGGCCACAAGCTTCCAGTCCTCCTGCCTCAGCCTCCTGAAGAGCTGGGGTTGTAAACTTGTGCCACTGCACTTGGCTTAGATCCAATTTTTTTTTTTTTTTTAATCCTGTTGATTGAACCCAGAGCCTTCACGCTCACCTGCGTCTCCAGCCCTTTTTTTTATCTTTGTTTTTTATTTCGAGGCAGGGTCTTGCTAAATGACTAAGTTGCCCAGGCTGGGCTTGAAGTTGTGATCCTCCTGCCTCAGCCTCCAAGAGTGCTGGGATGACAGGTGGGTGCCAGCACACCTGACTAAGACCCTGTACTTTTAAGTGCGAGACAGTGATCATGCCTTCTACCTGCGGTTATGCTTTCAGTTAAAAATCTGTGTTAATGATAATATTTTCGGTTCTTTCTTCGTCTTTACTTCAAGAGCCTCCATCCAACTGAAGCAAAATGGAAAAAAAATGTTGGAAGCTTCAAACCACTGTTTTCTCTTCTATGAGAGTATAAACAAAGCAAAATAAAAAGTGGATGACAGAAGCGGGGAGGCAGCGCTTGCCCAAAGGGGGCGGGGCCGAGAGACGGGGCGGGGCCGGGACCGAAAGGAAGGAAGGTGTGTCACGCATGCGCTCCACACGAGGCCCGCAGACACGGTGCGCTGCCTGCACGGAGGGATTTTTAAAAAAGAGCTAAGGGAAAAACACCGGCAAACTAGAGAAGCTGAGGGTTTCTTTTTTTTTAATTTTTAGTAGTCTACTGCGGCAGCGCGGGGATGGCGTCCTTGTGGGAGCTCCCCTGAATTTTTTTTCCATCCCTGCCCCTTGTGCCGTCTCTCGGAGTCCTTTTTTTTTTTTTTTTTTTTTTTTTTGCAAAAGATCCATCTCCCTATTTCCTCTTGCTATCTTTTTTTCTCCCGTACTGGTCTGGGTACGGTCTGGAGGTGTTTGCAGCAGCGGCACCCTCAGCCCGGACCTGGGAGGAGGAGGCGGAGGGCGGCCGGAGCGGGTGGCCGAGGTCTGTGCTGTGCTTCCAGCCCCTGGCTTGGCCAGTCCCGCTGTCCGCCTCCTTCTTGGGAGAAGGGCGGAGGAAAGATGATTCCTGGGCACGGGCCCAGGTCTAAGATCATGCGCTATATGTGTGCCTGTGAGCGCATCCCTGCCGAGCCGGGACTGCCAGCGTGATTTATCTCCTCGGGGCTTTATATAACTCAAGAGCGAGCCCAGCCGCGCACGCAGCTCGGAGCTCTGGGCTCTGCTGCGTCAGGAATCAGAAGCCACGCGGAGGGCAGAGACGCCCCGGCAGCGTCAGAGCTGTGCTTGCGTGTGTTTTCTTTTCTCTCTTGAACAGCAACAGCTTTTATCCCGCCAGTGTACGCTGGTGGGGAGCGTGTGCCTGTGGAAAGCTGGTTTTATGTGTGGTTTTCTGAGTTTATACAATTAAAAATGAACCAAGAGCAAATATCCCGTAGGGTTCCAGGAACAGGAGGATCTCGGGTGTCACAGTCGTGGGGACCGAAGGGAAAGGTGGGCGCCCGCGGTGCCGGGAGGGGGCTGGCTTTGGACGAGGGCTGAGGTTCGGTGGGGCGATGGACGAGTCCTGTAGCTGGGCGGCGGGGTGCATTTCCCACATCACAGATACATTTAATGCGCTGAACTGTACGCTGGGGAATGGTTCAAAAGTTAAGTTTAAAAAAATGTATTGATTGATTTTTGTTAGTACCTCTATGAGTACACAATGATTACATTCATGGTAGGGAATGGTACATGTATGTAACACATTTCCATTTTTCCCCCTGTCCCTCCACCTCCTTTTGTCTTCGCAGCATCAGATTCATTTAATTGTCTTATAAGACTTTATAAAGTTAATTATTGCTGGGTGTGGTGGCCCACGCCTGTAATCCCAGCACTTGGGAGGCTGAGGCAGGAGGATCGCCTCGAATTTGAGACCAACCAGGTCTACATAGTGAGTTCAAGGCCAGCCTGAGCTACATAGAGAGACCCTGTGTCAAAGAACAAAAACAAAACAACAAAACAAAACAAAAAAGTTAATTATCATATATACAGATTAAGAATCAGGCCAAAGAACATATAAAACATGTAAGACAATTGTACTAAGTCCAAGTACACTTTTAGATACATTGTCCACACTGAATTAGAATACTTTTTCTCTCTCTTTTTCTATTTGTCATTTATATATATTTTTTCGTATAAGAGAAACCATGTGATATTCAAGCATGTGTGTCTGATTGACTTCTTTTGATGTTATGGTCTCAAGGTGCGTACCTTTTCCTGCAGATAACTCAGGTTTATCCTTCTTTATGGCTGAGTAGTGCTCCATTGTGTGTAAACACCACGTTCTCTTTATGTGTTCATCTGCGGATGGGCATAGAGGCTGCTTCCAAGATTTAGTTTTTTGAGGACTCTCCACACTGATTTCCATATTGACTGCACTGGTTTACACTCTTACCAACAGTGAAGAAGGGTTCCTCTCTCCCCACAGCCTCACCCGCATGTTACTGATTTCCTCATGGTAGCCATTCTTTCCGGATGAGAGGGTAAAAAGTGAAATTCAGCCGGGAGTGGAACTGGACCCCCGGTGCCGCCTCTGCGCCCAGCCCCGTGCTTTGCGGGGAGACTTGAGCCCTTGCTCCGCCTTCCTCAGGGCTCAAGCTGCCCTCCCGGGCGTGGTCGCCGTCGTTCGAGTCCGAGGACGCCCAGAAACACAACCAGAGCGAGTACGAGGAGGCGGCGGGCGAGTGTTGCTCCTGCCCCAAGACGGACTCTCAGATCCTGAAGGAGCTGGAGGAGTCGTCTTTCAGGAAGACCTTCGAGGACTACCTGCACAACGTGGTCTTCGTGCCCAGGTCAGGACTCTGCGTGGGGGGAGCCCCTCGGCGTGGTGTCCGGTCGGTACTGAGGGAGCAGGCGATGGGGGCGGGACCCTGGGCCGAGCCCTGCCCGGGCGGAGCAAGGGGTCTTGCAACTCTCCCGGGAGCTTTTCCAGCGAGGGAGCTTTTCCAGCGAGCGGAAGTCATTGCCCAGGAGGGGAATGTTTACAGACGCCGACCTTCCAGCTCTTTACCTCGCTTCTCGCGTTGTCCATCTGAGTCGGCTCAGAGACAGACTCCGCCGGGTAGATTCTTGGACAGAGTCTGAGAAATGCCGCCTCCGCCTCAGCTTGACTTATCTCTAAGTCTCTAGGTTTCAACCACAGCTCTCTGTCCCTGTCTCTCTCTCCCCGTGCAAGCTTCTTCTCACCCTTCTAGTACCTTCCACCGCATTATCAAAACCCAGAGACGACTCCTGTTTAAACAGGTTGAGTTTCCATAGGCGACTGAAGACCGTGGGCCAGGTACGCCCCACTCACAGACCTCGCAGTGACGCATACCTGTGTCATAGTTTCTCTTTTCTAATTTTCTGCCCGATTTGGGCTGAAAGTGTAAACAGATGTAAACATGTTTGCAGATGCAGGGTAGGTGGATCCTTTTACCCCAGGCACGTTTCTCTGCCTTCCTGTTGGACAGGCTGAATGTCAGAACTCTTGGTAGCAGGAATTTTGGAAGCTCACTGCGTGGGTCCCCTGCATTTCTATACCCTGCCTTGAGCAGGTTATTTTTGCTTCTCTGTGCCTCAGTTTCCTTATCTGTAAAATGGACATTGTAACAGGCATCCCTCAGTGTATACGGCGAATGGCTTCCAAGACGCTCCAGGGTATCAAAATAGGAGTGTGCTGAAGTCCTGACACAGATGGTGTAGTATTTGTGCAGACTCTACAGTCTTCCCATAGATCAGCTCACCTCTCGACTTACAATACCCAGTATAACCTAAGTCACATGTGAATAGCTGGTCTACCACACCACATAGGGGAGAATGACATAGGGGAGAATGACCAGGGAAAGTCTGTGTCTGCAACACGGATGTGACATTTTTCCTCCAATATTTTTGACCTGTAGTTGGTTGAATCCATAGGTGTGGAACCCCTGAGTATGTAACCCCTGATGGTAATCATTCCTACATTTTAGGGCTCGGAGACTCAATGGGGTACAGAGGGATTCTTGACCTCGACATTGCTGACACTTGGATCCAGAATGTGCTTGGTGCTGGGGTGTCCTTGTGTCTTAGGGTGCTCAGCAGCATCTCTGGTCTGCAACACTGGGTGCCGGTAGCACAACCCCGCCCGGTCCTACAGTGTGTGTTGAGATTCACCAGCACTGCTCATCCGAGTAGATGATTCCCAGAATCATCAGTGGGTTAATGTTTCGTTCTTTAAAAATCTTTTTCCTTTCTTGCATTTTCCTCTTATGACTCCGAGTCCGAAAGAACACTGAGTCCACAGCCCAGGCACCAAGCACTTACTGTGTTACCCATTAAAACCAGAAGGCTGCTGCGTGTGGCCCGTCCAATGGGCAGTCGTGTCAGGTTTGATATCCCAGGGGCAGCCCAGCGGGGTGAGTCTGGGGTCTTTTCTCTTACTTCCCTGCCTCTGTCTTACGGAATTGACAAGAAGCCAGCCAGTGTCAAGGGCAGGGCACACACACTGGCACATTTTACGTTACTATAATGAAATACCTGAAGCTCGTACTTTATGGAGAAAAGAGGTTACTTTAGCTCACGGTTATGGAAGCTGAAAGTCCAAGGTCAGGCAGCCCCGTTCATCTGGACCCCCTGGGTTACACTGCATCACAGCTGATGGTACCACAGAAGGATGAGTGTGAGAGAGGTCACAGGAAGCTCCAGGAGACCAGGTTGGTGGCAGTAGTGACCGCCCACGGGGCCCTGCCTCGCAAGCCCCACCCCTCTTAGGAGGCACGTTAAGGACCAACCCTCCGGCTCAGGAACCCCGAGGACACATTCACACCGTGGCCAAACCGGAGCTGGAGTGTGAGCTCCTAGCCGGTCCCCTGGAGAATGCTGCCTGTCCTCAAAGTGGTCGATTTTGTTTTCACAGAAAGCCCTCGGCAGTCAGTGGTGCCCAGGACGCTAGGTACGACCCGGACGGAGGTGCCTGCGTGGCCCCTTGGCTGTTCGATGCAGGGCTGGCGGGCGGGGTGGTGTGGGGGGCATGCGGGGGCCTCGGAGATCTCAGGGTTTTCTGTGGCTTTTGCATGTGGCAACGGGCTGCCGCCGCGCTGTGATCAGATGCTTCACAGATTCACCAATTAAACTTCTTCCCTTGGAAATGGAATCTGGGCGTGAGTGTGGGGGGAGATTGAACTAACACACTCTTCCTAAAATACAGACTCTCAGGAGCGCTCTCTGCGCCCTGCCTTCGGGCCCCCGACTCCCTGTGCATTTACTCCCTGCACATTACCTACAGCTGCCGTGTCCGTGTGCGGAAGTGCGGGCGGTGTGCTGGCCCAGCGGCCCCTCCTGGATTTGAGGAGACGGGTGCAGGAGCAGGACATCTTTATGAAGTCAGTCTCACCCTCCCTAACGAGCGTTTCTCTTGGGGTCCAGCCAGTGTGCCGAGACCCGGAAGGGGCAGCAGGAGCGAAGGGTCCCCACGTCCCTGCAGGCCACGGGGCACACGTGGGGTATTTCCCTTCCCACTTTACCCTCAAGAAGGAGGTTGGGTTCTAGAGAGACCCAGCTCAGAGGGTCGGGGAAGGCCGGGAGATGGGACTGAACTCAGAATGGAGCAGAGAGCTACATGTGGAAAGAGCGACACTCAATGCACTGGAGGATAAGACAGGCACCACTCCTGATGGCACGGGTGTAGGCAAGGACTTTCTGAACATAACCGCAGTGGCGGGAGAAATAGCACCGAGAGTCAACAAATAGGGTCGTGTCACGTTGAAAAGCTTCTGCAGAGCAAAGGAAAGAACCAACAGAGTGAAGAGACAACCTACGAATGGGGGAAAAACACCTTACCAGTTCCCCCTTGGAGAGAGGACTGATACCTAGGATATACCAAAGAACTCAAAACAACTTTAAGACCCCCAAATAAAAGACCCAATCAAAACATGGGCAACTGAAGTGAATAAACTCTTCTTGGAAGTACAAACGGCCAATAACTGTATGACAAAATGCTCAGCATCACTGGCCGTTAGAGAAACGCAAATATCAGGAAATCTCGGTGGGAATTAAGAAGCAAGACTGGAAAGACAGGTTGGGGCCAGGGAGAAGGATTTTCTTTTGGCACAGAATTTTTGATTGATTTCAGGCAGTTGTGTGGCTTGGTCTGCCCTCTAGCGGCTATATGTGATATAATCTGTGGTCCAAGAAAGGCCCAGAATTTTGAGGCCTTGGTCTCAAACAGGATGTCTCCACGTCATCCATATTGATATTTGGGGCTAGGTCATTCTCTGAGGTACTTTAGGATATTGAGCAGCACCCCTGGCCTCCACTCCATACTAGGACTGCACCCCCCCCCCAGTAGTGACAGCCAGAAATATCTCCAGATGTTGTCAGATGTCCCCTGGGGGTGGGGGCAGTAGCACAGCTGGTTGGGACCACTGTCTATGTGAGATGTTGGCGAATCAGATGCTGTCTATGTAGGGGGTGGAGAGCTCAGCTAGCCATGGGGTCTTTTAGTAGCACACGGTAGTCTTTTGCGTGTGTAACCCTTTAGACATACAGACATACCTGGGAGATACCGCAAGTTCCGTCTTGGTTTCCCAGCGCACATAAAAGTTATGGTGACCCTATGCTCCACCAGGCGTGCAGTAGGATTATGTCTTGAATAAGTGCTTTAGCTATATAGTAGCTTAATTTAAAAAAATCTTTATTGCTAAACAACACTCATGGTCATCTGAACTTCTAGAAAGTGATGCCAAAATGTGCTCAAAGCAGGAATGCTACAGATGCTCAATTAGTAGAAAATGCAGGAAAGCAAAGGACAATAAAATGAGGAGTGTGCCAGGGTAGCCTGTTTGGTGAGGTCATTTTATGTATCCAAGTGTTCAGATACAAATTTCTCTGCAGCTCTTGGTGAGCTGCTTGCGTAGTGATTATTTTTGCCAGGCTCATTTATGTCTGTACTGAAGTGTTTAGAATCCTGCTAAAAAGCATATAGCTCATAGCTCAGTCTTAACAAAGAGAGTCATTTTTTTTCCTTAATCTGAGAGTGCTTTTTTTTTTTTTTTTTTTTTTTAATGTAAATATGCCACAAAGAAAATCTTACTGAGTCAAATCCTCCTTTGGAGGGTTAGTTTTCTGACCACACATTTTCTGATTATGAAGCAATAAAAGCTCAAAGTTAAATTCAAAAGTTTGAACAGACAATGAAGTTAACCACTTCAGTGTCTATTGAGTCAAAACAGAAATTGAAACTTCTGCTGAGGTCTTTTGGAAGGTAGTGAAAATGTATCATATACCTTAACTTGTTGAATATTGTCAGAGCGTAGCTTTAATGCAGATTACTAGGCATTAATAGATTTGTAAAGAAAATAAATTTATGACAGTTTAAAAATATAAAAATAAGGCTATGAGCCCAGCTCAGTGGTAAAATGCTTGCTTAGAATGCACAGAGCTCTGGGATCCACTACCAGCACCGCCCTCCAAAAAGAATAATTCAATAAAACACAAAATGCAAACATATTAGAGAAAAAAATCAATATTAACTAAGCCAATGGCAAATATATCAAAGGGGAAAAATACAAAACCGAAGAAGGTGATATAAAAGTAGGATCTGAAGAACATTGTAATGTTTTGAAACTTTCAATGGGGTAGGAAATTTTAGCATGTCTGATTTGAGAAGGCACAGTAGAATTAAGTTGAATAACTTGGAAAAAATTAAGATGTGTGTCAACTCCTTTCCTTAAAAAGGCCTCAGGTCTAGAGAGTTTTATAGGTGAATTCTTTCAAACTCTGTATGAGCAACTATTGCCTCTATTACAGAAGACTCTTCAGAGCATGGAAATCCATCAAAACCAGCCCAGTTCACTTTATAAAACTAAAATAACATTTCTAGTAGTAGAATGAGGTAAAGATCCTACACTAACAGAAGGCCGTAGGCCATGCTGATCTGTGTCTTTAGATTGGCATGTCCCAACTAAAACAGGAAAATAGCAGTGTGGTTTATCTCAGAAATGCAGGGAGAGTTTAAGATAGGAAAATGTGATAATATAATGTAGTTTATCCCAAATCATATGTTATTCAATATGTCCTCTTATAAAACTAGGAATAGAATACTTCTTAAACAGGATAAATTTTATCTGACAGCCACAAAAACATCATTCTTAAAACGATCTTTGTTAGAGTTGGAAGCGAAACAGGGAAGTCTAATATCATCATTCCTAATTAACATGTCCTGGAAATCCGGCCAATACAATCAGACAGCAAAGCAGAATTGCAAGGAACGGGGCACGAGAGGCTAGGGACGCAGCACGGTGGAGCGCTTGCTTAGCACGCATGGAGTCCTGGATTTCATCCCCAGCACGGCAAAACAAAACAAACACAAGAAATAAAATCTGATGTTTGCAGATCGTCCGGTGGAAGGGTGTGTAACCTGTGGCCCATGGGTCGCAGGCTGCCTGTTTTTCTAAATGAACTTTTATTGGATTGCAACCACACCCACCTCTTGCGTGTTATCTAGAGCTGTGTTTGAGCAACATTGGCAGAACTGAACGGTTACGGCAGCACCTCCCTTCCACTCTGTTCTGAGGAGATGGACCACAAAACCTTTAGAATGACGAGTACTTGTGGGAAGTAGACACACGAAAAATAAACCCGGAGTCAGCAGGACCAGCAGCAGTGAGACTATAAGACCGGGAGAAACGTCCCTTTCATAAAACCTTAGCACAACAGGTGATAACACCATCTAGAATTACCTGCAAAAGGAAACGGTAAAGGTTTTTACTGATGGGTGAATTTTACAAATGCAAAGGACTGTATTTTGACTCAGTTAAAGGAAGTTCACCTGCAAACTGCAAACGGGGTAAATTGTACAGTGTAACAGATACCTATTCTTAATATCTTTATACTATGGATATGACTTTAGATCCACACGTCTAAATGACTTTAGATTTAACTGGCTGGGAATAAATAGTGGAGGACTAGCAATAAAGAAGGCACTACGTGTTTGTGGGAAAAAAATAAAGGAAGGACAGGGATTGGAGGACACACCTGTAATCCTAGCACTCCAGGAGGCTGAGGCAGGAGGATCACAAATGTGAGCCTAGGCTGGGCGTGGTGGTGCATGTCTGTAATCCCAGCACTCGGGAGGCTGAGGCAGGAGGACCAGCCTGGGCTACAAAGTGAGCTCAAGACCAGCCTGAACTGCATAGGGAGACCCTGTCTCAAAAACAGCAAAACAAAACAAAACAAATACGAGCCCAGCTTGGACAGCTTAGTGACTCAGTGAGACCCTGTCTTGAAAAATAAAAAGGGCCGGGGGTGTAGCTTAGTGCAGAAGCCCTGGGTTCTATCCCCACTACCATTAAAAAAAAGGAAGTGTTAATGAATGCTTCCCATTAATGGGGAAATGGGTCATGCAAATGGCTTGATCCTTATCGTACCTACACACCATATTTCCAGAAAAAAATAATTACCCAAAGTCAGCAGTGGTCAGTGGAATTACGAGGAATTTTAATTCTCTTCCTTATACTTTTTTTTGTATTTTTAACCGTGTGGGCTGTCAGTCTTTATTTTGTAACATCTCTCTTTAAGGGGTGGGGAGAGTGGGTTGCTGGGAATTGCCTGTACTTGCCCTGGTGATGAGATCTGTTTACCAGGAGCTGGACTCCATCCCTCAAATTCTGGAGTGCCCCAGGTCCTAAGGAGGAACGTGCTTTTCCCCTGCTCTGGTTCACGATGCCCGCCCCTGGCTTGGGTGGTGGGTGAATACCACTTGGCAGACTTTCCTGAAAAGCTAGACTTCTCCGTGCTTTTGGCCTCTTGTTTTTTAACACTGACTCTGGCCTACTTCTGTGCAAATTGAAAATCCGAAATCAAGCATGTGGAGGGGAGTACTGGTGTGTGGTTGTTGGTGACGCTGGAGCCCCCAGCCCCGGCGGGGTGGGTCTGCCTTGGTCTTGGGCACCGCCGAGGGCGTGGGAGCTGCCCCAGGGCTCTTGGGCGATCTGCGCTTTAATCCACGCACCTCTGTGCACATCCTTTCCTTAAACCTCCGCCCTGCCTTTCGCTTTGGGATGGCGAAGGCGTCACCACGCGGGTCCTCTTGTCGTTGCAGGCCCTCTCGGAAACGCAGGTCCCTGGGTGAGGTGGCAAACGTGACCGCGGTAGTGCCCACTGTACCAGGCTTCCCCCACCGCTCCTCCCCCACCGTGCCCGTCCGCCTGGAGGAGCCCAGGCCCTTCGAGAAGGTCATGAACAAGGAGTCCCTGGTCATCTCCGGCCTGCGGCACTTCACTGGCTATCGCATCGAGCTGCAGGCCTGTAACCAGGACGCTCCAGAGGAGAGGTGCAGCGTGGCCGCCTACGTCAGCGCCCGGACCATGCCCGAAGGTGCTGCCAGTGCCGGGGGTTGGCACCCAGGGGGTGGGGGAACCACCCGACCAAGCGCAAGCCCAGTTGTGGGCTTCAGGGTCTCTAGCAATCCTCCTGCCTCAGCCTCCTGAGTAGTGGGAACGTGCCATCACGTTCAGCGTGTTGGATTTTTGTTTTCAATGATAAGACTCCTACATAGATCTTATGTAAAGTTTAGAGAAAAACATACAAGCAATGGGGAAAATCAGCAAAATTAAGAAATATGTATCTATAGTGTATTAGGGTGCTGTGGAGGGAGGAAGTTAACAGTGGGTGTGTGTCTGCTGCTGTGAGTGTGATTCCTCAGAGAACGAGGGAGAGGAGGGGGAAGAGAGAAGAGAAAGATGGGTGGAGAGCGGGGAAACAAGGAGAACGGAGACAGAATAAAAAGAATGGGGGAAGGAGAGCGGGGGCAGGCTTGAACTTATTCCCACCTGACTGGACAGAGCCCACCCGCACTGTGTATGGGTGGACCTCAGCTTTACCGAATCCCCCACCTTAAATGTGAGTCTCAGCCGGCGAGAGGGCAGCAGCACAGAAACATTCAGAGTGAACTTTGACTCAGCGACTGGGCACCTCGGCCGGGCCCGGCTGACACACAGAGTCAGAAATCCGAAAGAAAGGCGAAAGCTGGTCAACTCCCAGCCACGCGCTGCCCTCCGACCGGCTTTTGTGTATTCCCTCAGAACTGGAACCACTCAAAAGGCTGGCACCGTACAAAGAATTTTGTGCATTTTTTTTTTTTTTTCAGTTTTTAAAAATTGTGGTAAAAACACATAACGTGAAAGTTACCTCTTAACCACGTGGCAGTGTGCAGTTAGTGGAGCTAACCACATTCGCGATGGGTGCACCGCCCTGTGACCCACCGGCGGAGCCTCCTCCGCTCCTGCTGCCCTCTGTGGCCACGGAGGGCTTGGTCCCGGCCTCCCCAGCCCCGGCCTCCCCAGCCCCGGCCTCCCCAGCCCCGGCTCTTCCCTGCTTCCTGCTCTGTGTGCTGGCCGCTCGGGGCCCCGGGAGTGGCCACCGCAATGGGCGCCCTTCGCGTCCGGCTGGCCTCTCTGGCCATTGTGCCTTCAAGATGCGCCCAAATCTTGCAGAATTTCCTTCCTCCTCAAGGCTGAGGATCATCTTACACGTTTTAAACTTGTTCTTTCTTGGGGAGGGTGCGCATGAAAATGCACCGTACGAATTGGGCACAATATTATTTCACTTGTAGCCGTGCCATCCTGTTTCGTGTAGAAGTCTTTTCTCAAGGGACTATCAGTGACAGGTATCTAGTGTCTCGTTTAGAAAATGATATTTAGAGGAACAGCTTTATACTCATCCACTTACTTCCTTTAAGTTGAGCTGTTGGATTGGAATTCTTGCTCGGTGGATTCACAGTTATATGGAGATCTGATTTTGTTCCGCGGATCTTACAGAGATGGGTCCATTGAGCTAGTCTAACTGGGTGTTCTTTTTAACAAATATGGGTATATGTTCTGGGAATGTATATTTATTCTATATTTTTTTCAGTACTCATTTTTTTCTTGCCCTCAAAGATCTGTCCATCATTTTTATCCCTTGGTTCCATACTTTTAATCACTCTGGTTTTCTTTCTTTCTTTCTTTTTTTTTTTTTTTGATTTTTCATTCGTTTTAGGGAGTGGGTACCCGTACTTAACACATCTTGATTGTGCTTAGCCCTTCCCTCCCCTCCCAGCTCTCCTCTGTCTCTAGATCCATTTTCATTATTATTGTTATTATGTTTTAGTTCGTGTTTGCACCCTACCTTGTTTACCTTCATTGCAGTATTTGCTACATCTGCGTGATGCTATCCATACATATCGGGAAACTAATTTCTGTGGCTTTTCCACATTCAGTTGTATTGAATTTTAATTTACCTGTCATTCAATGCACAGATTTTTGTGCATATGGGGAATTCTGTAGTTGATCTCCTGATTTTAACATGGAATGCCAAGATGGTGAACAGGTCTGAAAATTTCCATCCACCCTATTTTTGTGTGTGCTTTTCTCCAACATAGTAAAAATAAGCCTTCACTAAGGTGGAATTAATTACAGGTGTAACGTAAATCAGCAGAGGTCCTTTGAGTTCTGTGGGAGGACATGCACAGGTTTTACTTGACACAACATCATTTGATATGAGAGACTCGTGCATCTGGAGATCTTGGTATCTGAGGGGGTGCTAGAGCCTTACCCATGATTACCCAGAGATGACTGTACCCAACTTAGCTGGGGTGTTATCCTTGGTGGAAGACAGAGCAGGGTCTGTGGGGACTCTCTAGGCTATTTTTTGCAATGTGTATCTGTGAGTCTGAAATGGCACCGACATAGAGGTATGTGAAGAAAATTCCTCAGTGTTTCTTCCCGAGCATCCTGTTATCTGTCCACTGCCCCTGAAGAAAATAGGATGTGGAAAATTACATAACAGCTCAAGGTCACTCGGGTGTTAGGTGCGGAAGTGGGATTGGATGCCTGAGTCCATCCCAGACCCTAATTGCTGCCTCTTACAGCCAAGGCGGATGACATCATTGGCCCCGTGACCCACGAGATCTTTGACAACAACGTCGTTCACTTAATGTGGCAGGAGCCAAAGGAACCCAACGGCCTGATCGTGCTGTACGAAGTGAGTTATCGGCGGTACGGGGAAGAGGTAAGGATCTCCATTCTCGGTCGTGAGCCTTTGAAGTTGTCCTTATGACCTTCTTCTGCTTAAAACCCTTCTTAAAACCCAGAACTTCCCTCCTTGGATGCAGTGTCATTGGGACTCAAAGCCGTGGTAAGTGGCTTTTGGGGTGTTGGACCAGAAACCCCGACGCACAAACTTTTCTTTGCTAAATTCTTCACATTGCTTTTTATCGGCGTCCTCCAAGTTGGGTGATGGCTGCCTGTTTGTGTCTCTTTTCACCAGACAAGAGACTCAGTTGGTTTCAGAGACTTAACTGAATCTGGAAATGGATCACTTCAAACCTTCAGTGTGACTTTTTGCTGGGTACGTCCCTCCGGTATCAGACATTGTATGAGTTGATGGATGAACGCAGAATACGTAAGAGGCAGAATCCAGTGTGGAAAACCGAAACCATATCTAAGCTATCTGAGGGCTCCCTGCCTGCTCCATGCACACTGAGCGCTTTAGACTCTGAATCTCATTTGTCATACTTCTTTATATCTAAGATGTTATAAGGGTCTGTATTATTTTTACGGACCATTAAGGAAGAAAATGATGCAGCTAATGCTGAGTGTAAGAGTGATTCCAATTTTTTCTAAAATGTACAAATGGACATAATATGCCTCTTGAAATTAGCAAAGTACCATAAATCCTCAGAGTCTCCCAGTGAGCTAGGTATTAAGGTTTCCAGAGTTTAAGTCACTGCCTATGGTCTGTAAGAACAGTCCACGTACAAATTCAGCGACGATATTCTGATCCAAGGGCCAGCAGTTCAATTTTTCTGTAAAGAGTCAGATAGTAAACATGTTTGGCTTTGTAGTCAGATAGACCTCAGAAAGCTTTATTTTTGCATAAACCTGCTTGGGCATTTAATCCATATTCATGAGGTTTTTTTTTTCTTCTGCCTAATGGTGTCTCTGTCCACATAGCCTTTGGAATTCCATTTTGTGATCGCTACGTAGGACTTAATTTCACAGGTGAACTAGTATTTATTTTCTGACCTTTCAACTCTGCCAGTGGGACTCAAAAGCAGTGTGAATGGGTGTGGTTGCGTGCCAATAAAACTTTATTTACAAAAACAAGTGGTGGACCAGGTCTAGCCTGGGAGCCAGTTTTCCCATACCTCACAGTAGGTTGTAGCAGAGCTTTCTGGGACTTTGAGACAGAATCTTCCGGCAATCAGGTGGGCCTTCCTTTGCAGACCCCTCCTGGGAGCATGTCTCCTTGGTAGCCACATCTTCCACTGTAAGAGCGACTGAGAACTGGGACAGCAGGATCTGTAGGCCACACCTACAGCCCGTTTGTACGTGGGGTGCAGAGTGCTGTCCAAAGGAGTCAGGAGGAGTATGCAGCGTAGACTGTGTGCAGTCCTTCACTGAAAAACTAGATTTCAGAAAATGTAAATGTCCTAACTAAAAAACAGTCATTTCCTGCAGACTTAGGGAGTCCTACTTGCTAAATGAACAGCCTGATTTGCCCTTTTTAAACATCTTTCTGTTGTTGTTGTTTTGAGACAGGGTGTCCTTAAGTAGTTCAGGCTGGCCTTGAACTCACGGAGTAACCCAGGCTGGCCTCGATCTTGTGATCCTGTTGCCTCAGCCTCCAGAGTCCTGGGATTACAGCCTGCGTCATCATTATTTACCATGACAGATTCCACGGTTAGGTTCATAGTTGACCTTATGGGGAAATCTGATTCCGGTCTTACCCAGTTCAATTTGTGAGCAGAGTTGTGCAAAGAATTAAATTCAGGAACCAAGGTACCGCTGCATTTACCACCCAGACTCAGGATCACTTCATGCCAGTTGCCCCTTCTTGCTCTTTGCTCTGAGCCCAGCAGCACCAGGCTGTCCTGTGTTTGCACAGAGCCAAAATTCTTCTCACTCAAGGCCAAGCCAAGATGTAGAGAGAATCTATCCCAGCATTCTCAGACAGGCTGAGGTCATGTGACACTCATTGACCAATCATGTAGCAGAGGAGCACTGTGTGCTGATTGGGTTGGGCCCAGGAATTTTAAAAAGTATCATTGAGATGTAATTTTCATGCTATAAAATTTACCCATTTAAAATGTTCATATTTAATACATTCATACTGTTTAGTTGTATAACCATCGCCACAGTCCATTCAGAATACTGCGTCACCCCCAAAAGAAAACCGCCCTTCTTTGCCCATTGCCCCTCTTCCAGTCTCTCTGGTCTCCCCTCCAACCCAGTAATCTGGTCTCTGTCATTGGGCAGTTGCCTGCTCTGGACATCTCCTATAAATGAATCATACAATATGCTATCTTTTGTGTGTGGCTTCTTTTACAGTGTATGGTATCCTTAAAGTTCATCTGTGTTGTAGCATGTGTTAGTGCTTCATTCCTTTTTCATGTCTGAATAATATTCCACTGTCTTCACAGACCACGGTTTGTTTGTTATCCCCTCTGCTGAAGGGAATTTGGGTTCTTTCCACCGATGGGCTAGGCGTGTTCATGTGTGTTTGGTGTGGAGGTGTGTTTTCCGTTCCCTTGGGAACATGCAGAGGAGTGCAGTTGCTGGGGCATATGGTACCTCTACATTTAACTTTTCAAGAAATGCCGAACTTTTTTCTAAAGCAGCTGCATGATTTTACTTTCCTACCTGTGGCGTGTGGTGTTCCGCTTTGCCCATATCCTCACCAACCCTTGCTGTTGTTCACCTTTTGGGTTCTGGCCCTCTTCATGGGGGAGAGGGGTATCTCCCTGTGGCCTTGACTTGTGTGTGTGGCTGGCTAACTTGGAGCTGCGTTTTGTGCAGTTCTCGAAGCAGCTGGTCTTCTGGCTTTGGGCAGCCGTGGTCAGCCCTGGAGCTAGAGTGGAGCTGACCATGAGAGGCAGAGCCACTCTCTCAGGAGGCGTAGCTGCCCGTGTGCGTTGCAGTCACTTGAGTGCGAGGAGAATACAGGTCTGTGCAGGCAGCAGTCGGTGCTTTCAGTGTGGATCTCCACGTCTCTCCTGCTGCTCTGACCGACCTGCTCCCCTTGGCCTGGAGCTTTCTGGGTTTGCACGCTGAAGTATGGCGTCCTGGGGACTGCCCGGTGCTGGGGAGAACGGGATAGCTGGTCACCCTGTTCACAGTGGCCTTTTCCCTGCCTCTGGCTTCTCCCAGCTTCTCTGGGCTGCCTTCCCTGCGCTCCTGTCACTGTTCCTGGGACCGGAAGGTCACTGGTGGGAGTCCTCGCCCTGAATCCACGCCAGCCTCAGCCCCAAGCCCATCTCCAGTCCCGGACACTCAAGCTCTGTCTGCCCTGGAGGGGAGCGGAGAGGTGGGGGAAGTTAAGGCGAGGAAGAGTTGCAGCTGCTTTCTTAAGAACCTTTTCAGAGGCATCTATTTTTTTTTTACCCACGTTGTCCTTCATGGCCCAGCATTGCTTTGATGAGGAAAAAAGTAACATAAAGCTTTATGTTGTTCTGTGTAATGTATATGGTTGGTGGACGGCAACGACCCTTTCTCCGTGGGGGACGTAGGCCAAGACCCCGAGTGGTGCCCGGAGTAGTGGCCACTAGAAAGGCCTCTGTGTGTTTTCTTCTCTGCGTACACACCTGTGATGAAGTTCAGTGTATGCATTAAGCACAGTAAGAGGTTAAAAGCTATGATTAATAATAAAACAACGATCATAGCAATATAGCATAGTACGAGTTATGTAGAGCCGATGCACTGTATAGTTCTGAAATCTTCCATTTCATATTTTTGGAGGCTACTGTGTATTTTACCACATGTTAGAGAATTCACTGTCCTGCTCGAGAGTAGGTATTTTTTTTCTTTTCTTTTCTGCCGGCTGAACAGACACACTTGCCAGCAGCTGTCAGGCTGTGTTCTTTCGAGCCCCTGTCTCCTGAACTGTCGCTCTGCAACAGTCTGTCCCTGTGTGCTTTCCCCGCCTCTCGGCTGGGTGCCCTGTGCCGAGGGCCCAGCTTCTTCTGGGACAGAGCATCAGTTCTGTGCGTGTGGTGCGCTCCTATCCTTGCCTCGGTGCCCTTCGGAGGTTTGAGTCTCCTTCCCTCGCTTGCATGAGCTTTTTTATGCAATCGACTTCTTCCCCTTTGATCAGGTTTCGGTTCCTGTTTTGCTTCTTGCTTTTGCTTTTTTGGTGTCTAGAGAGAGCGCTTGGTCAGTTTCTGGAGCTTTCCATCGTGTTCTGTTGCTCTCCACCCTCGAGTGTCCCGGGTGCAGGCCTCGGTCAGATAGCAGCTCTCTTTGATGTCTGTGTTTGCTTTTCTGTTCCTTCCCACTTGGTGACTCACTGGACTTGGGAGGGACTTTGGACCCCCAGCTCCCCGCCCCCACACCCGCCAGCGCCAGGCTGCCTTGTTTTCTTGTGGTTATGGTCACATGATAGGCACGGGAGTTTTTACATATCTCTTTCTTCCCTACCCTCCTCTCCTCCCAGACTTTTCCAGCCCAGTTCTCTGCATGCGCTGTTAGCTTTGGAGCTGTTTGGGAAAGTTTTCTAAGTTTTGGTCTAACGCTTTCGGGTCTGCCTGACCTATCGCCCAGCAAGCGTCCTGCCTCTCCTAGCAAGCTCCGAGGTGACCTTGGTGACGTGCTGCTCATGCGGTGCACACCCCACTCTATTGATCCCCCATTCTGACGGGCATCTAGGCGTAGTTCAGGTGTTTTTATGATGATGAAAAAATCAAAAGGCGACACCGCAGGGAGGAAAGATGTTGTGCTTTGTCCTTTGACATTAAGCCGTGGATCTCTAAGGTTTTGATGAGGCAGAGAGACTGGGAGGTGTGGGAAAAGATGGGGGTGACTTAGACCAGGAGGGTTCATTTATTCCTACCGCTGTGTGGCTTTGCAGGAGGCCTGGCCAAATATCCTCGATGGGCTGGTCTCGAGGAGAGGTTTTGAAGCCAGGCAGTTCTGAGTTCAAGTCCTGGCCCTCCCACTGCCCAGCTGTGGGATCTTAGACAAATCATTTAATTGTCGGAGCCAAGGGTCACCTGGTGGGTGCCACCATCCTGTGGGTCATGTCCTGTTTCCTTTCCTCCCCTTCCCCCCTTTCCCTTCCCTTCTCCTTCTTTCCTTCCCTCTTTGTCTGTCTGTCTTTCTTGTCTTTCTTTCTTTCTTTCTTTCTTTCTTTCTTTCTTTCTTTCTTTCTTTCTTTCTTTCTTTCTTTCCTCTTTCTCTCTCTTCCCTCCCTTCCTTCCTTCATTATTCCTTTCTCTGTCTCTGTCTCTCTCTCTCTCTGTTTCACATTCGTTCAGACTGCTGAGGATTGACCTGAGCTCTATCCTCAGATCCTTCTTATTTTATTCTTTGAGAAGGATCTCACTAAGTTACCAAGGCTCAAGTGTGGGCTCACGTGTGAGATCCTCCTTCCTCAGTGTCCCAGAGTGGTGAGATCGTAGGCGTGCACCACCACACCGCACTGGACTGCCTGTTTTCTCACAGCCGGTAAGATGCCGATCACTTTTACATTTAAAAAGAAAAATAAGAAGAACTGCTAATCAAAGCACACCAAGTTATAGTTAGACAGGAAGAAAAAGTTCCAGGTGTCTGTTGCACTGAATGGTGACTATAGTTAATAATACATATTTGAAAATTGCTAAAAGAAGAGTTTTTAGGAGCTGAGCATGGCGATACATACTTGGAATACCAGGTCTTGGGAGGGGGAGGCAGAAGAATCTACATGAGCTTGAGGCCAGCACCTGCCTGGTAAACACAAAGTCCTCAGTTCGATTCCTGGTACCAAAAAAAAGGTGTATGGGGAGACCCTGTTTCAAAAAACCAAACCAATATCCTCCCCTGATAAGAATAGCTTTTAGGTAGGGAATAGGGGAGAGAGAAGGAAATTTGCTATTAAGCACCAAATTATAATTTTTTAGAAGGGCCAGGCGCGGTGGCACATGCCTGTAATCCCAGCACTTGGGAGGCTGAGGCAGGAGGATGGTTGCGAGTTCGAGACCAGCCTGGGCTACAAAGTGAGCTCAAGGCCAGCCTGAACTGCACCGCGAAACCCTGTCTCAAAAAGACAAAAAAAAAATTAAATAAATAGAAGGAATAAGTTCTAGTGTTTTACACTACAGTTTATAATAATTTATGTTTTAATGGAGAAACTAGAAAAGAGGGACCAGCAGGTTCTTACCACAAGGAAATGATAAATGTTGAAGGAGATGCAACGCTGACTGCCTCCACTTGATTATTACACATCGTATTCACATACTGGGGTTATCACCTCGGGCCTCATAAATATTCACGGTTGTTACATGTCAGACAAAAACGTTTGAAAGTTAAGCTAGGAAAGAATATATTCTAAATGTTCTCACCGCAAAGAATGACAAGCCCGGGAGGGGACGCCTGTGTCCTTCCCTGCTTCCACTGTCCCGCGGCACGTGCATGTGTCACAATACCCCGTGCCGCCCACACACCCTGCTATTGTTTTTCATCAGTTAAAAATAAAATGTAAACATTTAAAAAGAATATTTCATGACATCACACAAAGTTTAGACTTTCAGTGTCCTCAGACTTTCACTGGCACCCGATCATGCCTGTTGGTTTATGGAGGTTACAGATTTGACTCTGGTATTTTCTTTTTGAATAGGTTTTTATTGGTGTGTGTTTGTAATACATGACAACCACAGTCCCCCTGGGGAGTCGGCACACGTACATATTGCATCCGTTTTCCTTTCCCTCCCTTCTCTCTTCCCCCATCCCTGGTCTTCCTCCCATGTCTACAAAGTCTCCCTCCCTGTTTCCTAGCGTCTCTCTTTTATCTTTCTCTTTCAATTGTTTATGCTTTTGGTTTTTCACATAAGAGAAACCTTGCAATATTTAAGCTTGCGTGTCTGATTTATTTCACTCGACACTATGAGCTCAAGGTGCATCCACTTTCCTACAAATGGCTCCAGTTAGTCCTTCTTCATGGCTGGGTAGTGCTCCATTGTGTATATATACCACATTTCCTTTATCTATTCATGGATGAGCTCACAGGCCACTCTCAAACTTTAGCTATTGTGCTGTTACTAACATGGGTGTGCATGGGCCCCTGCAACAGGATGTCTTTCACTTTTTTTCTGGAAGATATCCAGGCAGGGGAAGGCTGGATCAAAGGGAATTTCTGTTTTCAGTCCTCTGAGGTATCTCCATACTGATCTGGCTGTTTTCATTCCACACTGGCAAGGTTGTGTGTGACGCGTGAGGTCAGATACTTAGCGTTGGGCCCTTGGCAGCCTACGTCCGCCAAATCCCATCCTCAGCCCTGGTTTCCTCGCCTACAAGATGAAGGCCGTGGAACCTGAGGCACAGGGTTGAGGTAAGAAGGTGCCTTGGTTACCTTTCTCTTGTTGCTGAGACAAAATACCTGACTCCCAAAATCAAAGAGGAAAAGGTTGATGTAGCTTATAGTCTGTGGAAGTTTCAGTCCATAATCAGCTGGTTCCAAGGCAGGGTGGCTCATGGCAGAGGGCAGCAGTTCATGGCAGCAGAAGACAGCAAAGCAACAAGAGCAAAAGAGGCAAAAAGGAGGAGCAAACCGTATTCCCTCCTCTTTATTGTACAAAGGCTCCCTGCCCTAGGGCCGGTGTAGCACTCACACAGCCAATCCCAGCACTAGACAATGAACCAATCACAAACTCTAGATGCAGCCACTTCCGAAAAGCCCTTCCTCCCACCCATGACCGCATGAGGCTTCGGGGGACATCCAGACACACACCGTAACAGATGGGATGGGTGATCGAGGCCAGAGGCCTGGCCTCTGGCTTAAGAGTTTGTTGCTATCCGTGTGCCTCTGTTTTCTTGTCTGTAGCGCTGTGGTTTTAAAGTCGCTGGAGTCTCAAAGCCGACTGGGTGTCAGAGTTTGACTGGGTCTGACTCCCTCTGCGACATCTCTGCACAGGGTCTGGGCCTCGTCCCATCACCTGGCACCGGTGTCTCCCGATGTGCAGAACTCAGCTCCTCTTTCCCCTTCCTCCCAGGAGCTGCACCTGTGTGTCTCCCGGAAGCACTACGCCCTGGAGAGGGGCTGCAGGCTGCGCGGGCTGCAGCCGGGCAACTACAGCGTGCGGATCCGGGCCACCTCCCTGGCGGGAAATGGCTCCTGGACAGAAGCCACCTATTTCTACGTGACAAATTATTGTAAGTCTCCCTGGCGGCCTCAAGGGGTCGTGTCTCTGCTCGGTGCTGTGGGCCTGTAGAACATTTGAGATACGACTCCGGGGAAGCTCCGGGTGCTGGCCCTGGCCTTGCCTCTTGGGTCCCGGTGTGTCTCTGTGTGCACAGGACGAGATGTTTGGCCTCTCAGAGACACTGTACTTTCTCGTCTGTACACCTGGCTCACTATGGTCTCGGCCTGCATGTTCTCAGATTGAACAAACGATGGATCATGTTTAGTAGAAAAAGACCTCACATCTGTGCTGTGGGGTCCGGACTGCCTGTCAGTGTTCCGTAGATAATCCAGTGTGGAACTCTTTCTGTAGCATTTCCATTGCATCCGGCATCCTAAGTTACCTGGGGATGATTTAAATTGCAGGTCGGTTCTGTGTAAATACTGGACCTTTGTATATGGGGGACTTGGACATCTTTGGATTTGGGTATCCAAGGGGTCCCAGAGACACCAGGGCATAGCTCTACTCGACGGAGACGACAGGACACATTTGAGGTTGTTGAGAGGTTTCAATGACATGACGTCAAGGGGCTGTCACCCCTGGGCACCTCTGATCGATCTGTTAGCTCCTGTTACTGGTGTCTTTCTCTCTTTCTCGTTCATTCATTCATTCAGAGGACCTTTGCACTGAGCTGCCTCCCCAGTCCTTTAATTTTGAGATAAGGTGTCATTAAGTCACTAAGTTGCCTGGGCTGGGCTCAAATTTATAATCTTCCTGCCTCGGCCTCCCAGAGTGCTGGGATTATAAGAGTGTACCACCACCCCTGGGTCCACCTTTGTTAACAGATGGGCCACATCCTCTAGAGAAGGGGGCAGAGAACATCTACTCTCTCTTGGGTTCTGCAAGCATCTGGGGTATGACGGGACCCTGTGGGAAGAACGGGTGAGGGAAAGCTTCCTGAGGGGGTGGTGTCCTGCCGAGACCTTGAAGAATGACCCCACTGAGGCGAAAGAGGGACACGTGTTCAGCTGTTCACGTGATAGGAACCGTGACCCCCAGTGAGCGGTGACTTGGAGGAAAGATGGTAGGCTGGGGGAGGAAGGGCTCTGAGCAGGGGCGAAGGGGCACTTCTGCTTCCTGGCTGCGTTTTCCAGTCCTGGGATGAGGGGCGGGCAGAAGTGGGGAGAGATTCCTGCTGGCCCAGTTCTGGTTGGGGCCAGCGCTCAGAGGAAAGAAGGTCCTGATACTGCCGAGTGCACTGCACAAACCAAGTGCTGTCCATCCGGGCTCACCACAGAGCCCACCAGCTTAAGGGCACAGCGATCACCAACAGTCCTGCCCTCGCTTCAGACAGCAGCCATCAGATTTGGGGTTCTCCAGCTCACCTGCTCTTCTGATCAACTGCTTACTAATTTGGGACCCCTGGGGGTTGATAGTTGGCTAGAATGACTCCTAGACTCAAGAACGTGCTATGATTATGAGGACAGTTTTATAAAAGCCACTAGGTAGGACCCACCAGCTGGGCATGGTGGTGGATGCCTGGAATCCCAGCACTCTGGGAGGCTGAGGCAGGAGGGTCACGGGTAAGGAGCCCAGACGGGGCAACTTAGTGACTTAGCGAGACCCTGTCCCAAAGTGAAAAATAAAAGGGCCTGGGGGTATAGCTCAGTGTGAAGGCCCAGGGTTCCATCCCCCGTGCTGAAAACAAATGAAGAAATGAACGTGAAATTGGATGTGGACAATTGGGGTGGGAAACATGTACGTTCTTGTTCTATTTCAGCAGATGTCTCATCAAATATTGCAAAGATGATCATTGGGCCCCTCATTTTCGTCTTCCTCTTCAGTATTGTGATCGGGAGCATTTATCTATTCCTGAGGAAGAGGTGAGTGTGTGGTGGGCTGGCGTATGGTTAGCAGGGGGCTCTCTGCAGAAATATACGCCTAGATACTGGTACAGCAGAGCTGAGTTCATTATACATTTTACCAGATCTGTAACATGCAAGAATTCTGACCATTATAAATCGAGAAGCAGCCGTATAGTCTAGACACTCCTCATTGAATGACGGAGTTATGAACCTGCGACTGGGTCGTTAAGTGAGTTGGCTGCTCAGTGAGGAATCGTGTTGAGTGTCTACAAGATTCAGAACAAAGAAACGTACAAAGGAAACTTCAACTTGGTGACTTCGTTTTTATTTGGATGACTCTAACCTGCAGTACTGTTATGGATAACAAAATATAAAACTACAGGACTGTGTGGTACAATCAGCAAAAGTTACAGTGCTATATAAACAAGGTGTACTGTACAAAAAAAGTCAGGAGACTATAACAAGATGTACAGCCGGGTGTGGTGGTGCACGCCTGTAATCCCAGCGCTCGGGAGGCTGAGGCAGGAGGATCCTTTCGAGTTCGAGACCAGCCTGGGCTACAAAGTGAGCTCAAGGCCAGCCTGAACTGCATAGCGAGACCCTGTCTCAAAAAGACAAAGAAAAAAAAAAAAGATGTACAGAAGTGCACAAAAAAAAGATGGTTGTAAGTCTGAACAGCGCGCCTCTGTCCGTCTGAAGAGTCATTAACCAGGTAGGTTGTTAAAGGAGGATTGTCTGTTTCCATCACATGGGGACAGTTATTTGAATATGGAGATGATGTTGGTGACTTCAAAAGCGTTGGTCAGAGTTGAATGTCATATGATAATTAGAGAGTGATGAGCTGAATTCTCACAGTTTAATTTATTTAATTATTGTTATTACCTGTGCTCTTAGTATAGTTTGAGTTCTCTCTCTCTCTCTAAATATATATATATATATATTTAGTTTTTTTTAGTGGTGGTACTGGGGATGGAGCCCAGGACTTCTCTTCCATCGAACTACTCTCCCAGACCTTTTCATTTCTTTGGAAACAGGACCTTGCTGAGTTGCCCAGGCAGGATTTAAACTTATTACCCTCCTGCCTCAGCCTCCCTCTGGGATGGGTAATTTCCTTTTTAATGATGGTTGTATTTAACAGCCAGCTTGCAGATTTCCTACACATTTAACAGTTGTTCCTCACCAGCTGGGAAGAGCTGGCCCTGGAATGGTACCGAGTGTGGAGCAATGGGGTGTCACAAAGACAAGCATACATTCCAGTTAGAGCCAGGCGGGGAGGGGCGGGCATTCCCGTGCCGATGGGCATCTGTAGGATTATTACATGGAAGGCTTGCTCTTTGCCTTGGATTCTCAGCCTGGACTGACCACAGAATAAATTCTCCATTCCCGATTCACACGGTGGCCAATGCTAAGGTTTACAGAGTACCATGACAATCTCAAGCTGTCCCTGTCCTTTCTCCTCCAGACAACCAGATGGGCCGATGGGGCCGCTGTATGCATCTTCAAACCCCGAGTACCTCAGTGCCAGTGACGGTGAGTACATCCCTTGCCATCATTGAGTGAATGCTGAGGGGTGGTGGACGCCCCAGCGCGGGTGAGAAAAGCCTCCTTGTCATTTGCCCGCCTCCCACTGCTGCAGGAACCCCGTAGGATGAACTGGCAGAGTCCCGCTGTCCGGCTTCTGTCTGCAGGGGCTGACACAGCTGGTCTGGGTTTCCTAGGGCAGAATTCCCGGGACCCTTGTGCCGCAGCCTTGGGAGAGTAGAACTGGAGAAAGGGGCGGGGTCAGGATCAGAAAGCCGGGTCCAGACTTCCCGTCCACATTGGGAGGTGGGAGTTGGAAGCCGAGATGGGAGACTAAGGGGAGGAAGGCGCAGGTGGCAGCTGGCTGAGCCGGGTGCGACATTCGTGGTTGGTGGCAGGTGGACAAGGGTGGCTCAGGCTCATGTGGTACGGGTACTGATGGCTAGTGTGTAGGAGTGACACCCTGTTGTCCGTGACTGTACCAAAGGGCAGCGAATGTCCTGTGTAGAGAAGGCACAGCTGATTCTGAAGAGGCAAAGGCATCTATTGTATGACAAGTTTTTAAAGTGCTTCCTGCAGCTAAGCAGAATTTGACTTCCAAGGCATGGATGTGCTTGGCCAGTGGGAGGCTGCCCTAGGATGGCCTCACTCACATGTCTAGGGGCCAGCAGGATGGGCGGTCCCAGGCGTTGGGCTCAGGTGGGGGTCACAGAGCCTCACTCCGTCTGTGTGGCTAGCCTGGGTGTCATTCAGTTGCTCTGGAGGTTCCTCAAAGCAAGCGAGGGCAAGCTCCAGGACCTAGGCACACCACACATCTCTGCTCGGGTTGGGTGTGTTGATTCCCATTAACCAAATCAAGTATCACAAGGCCATGTCCGGGTCCAAGGGATGGGGACATAGAATCTGCACCTTCCTGGGAAGAACTGCCAAGTGCTGGGGCCATTTTGTTTTCCAACCGGTTACAACCCATCCTCCATCCTCTTGGCCATTTATAGTTACCGTGGGAAGTGGTGCCATTCAGTAACAGGAGTCTGGAATCAGATAGGGGTGCCATGTGGGCCTGGATGGGCACATACCTTGGACTGGGATCTAGGACCCAGGATCTTGGACTGGGGATGGCTCCTTTCCTAGCCCCTGCTACCTTCTCCAGTGCCCTGTTCCCTGCTGTATCCCTCCTGTCCAGGGCAGGTCCTGGATCACCGAGCGCATGAACACTGTGGGGAACTCGGACAGAGGCTCTGAGGGGGAGGTGGCTGGGAGCCCCCCAGGGATGGGTCAGGAATGCCGTGTAAATAAGTGAGAAGTAGTATTTCCATGTTCTGTGTATGTGCCGGACGAGTGGGAGGTGCCTCGAGAGAAGATCACCCTCCTGCGAGAGCTGGGGCAGGGCTCCTTTGGCATGGTGTACGAGGGGAACGCCAAGGACATCATCAAGGGTGAGGCTGAGACGCGCGTGGCGGTGAAGACGGTCAACGAGTCAGCCAGTCTGCGAGAGAGGATCGAGTTCCTCAACGAGGCTTCGGTCATGAAGGGCTTCACCTGTCATCACGTGGTGAGTCTGGCTGGGATGGGCAAAGGCTTCCTGTCAGGTACCTTCCCTCACTGGACGTCTTCCTACCACATGGAGCCACCGAGGACACTGGGTTCCAACTCCTGTCCACCCTCCCCTGGTCAAACCTCCCATCCCAAAGATTTTGGGGAGCAGTGCCCCCTTCTCCATCCCACCCTCTCCCACCTCACGTGGACCCAAACTCTCCACTCCCTCATCACTTTCCAGAACTTTCTATGGCTTTCTCGAATCATCTCTTTGTTTCTAGACTCTTTCTGGCTTTCTAGAACTTTCCATCACTTTCCAAAAATTTTGTATTGCTTTCCAGGATTCTCCTTTGCTTTCTGGAATCTTCCATCTCTTCCCACTTCTTGGTTCCTTTGTAACCCTTAACTACGCAGGGATCCACCCTTCCTACCGCCCTTATTCCTGCCCCTCCTGGAAGGAAACACATACTCACCATTCCTTTCTGATCCCACCACGGCCCCTTCGGTTCCCTTTGGGCTCCCTGTCCTTTCGTTCTAACCATGCACACGTATGAGAGCACTACGCCCCTTTCTTGTGATGCAACAGGAGGTGCATCCTCACGAAGCTCCCAGTTCAGCAGGTGGTGGAGACAGATTCCAAACCCAGTGTGCTCGTTAAGTGCTAGGAGATGTTATGGAGAAACACAGATCCAGGTGCGGCAGTGCACATCTGTAATCTTAACATTCAGGAAGTCGAGCTAGAAGGATCACGAGTTCAAGGCTGACTGGACTACAGAGGGATACCCTGTCTCACAAAAACAAATAAACAGTAAAAAGAGGGAATGGTTGGGGCGTATTTGAGCAGAGACTTAAAGCACGTGAAGGCCTGAGCTCTGTGGTCATGGGAGAGACAGTTGGGCAGAGGAAATGGTTAATGCAGGAGACACTAAGGACGTAGGAACGTACCTCAGGAAAACTCGGGGGGCTGAGAGTTTTTGGACTGTTACTGTATGTGACGGGTCTGTTCCCCACCCATCCCTGTCTAGGGCTGACTGTGCTCCATCCAGGACCTGGGCTGTGCGTGTATGTGCGTTGGCCACCAGACAGAGACTGCGTTGAGTTGAGATCACCCCACAGACCCTCATCCAAGAACCCTGTGCTTGCTCTGCAGGTCCGCCTCCTGGGCGTGGTGTCCAAGGGCCAGCCGACGCTGGTGGTGATGGAGCTGATGGCCAATGGAGACTTGAAGAGCTACCTCCGTTCTCTTCGGCCAGAGTCTGAGGTGAGCTGCTTCTGGGTCTCTAGCCAGGCACCTGCTCCCCGACTGTGAGTACCGGTGTTGCTGAACACCACCCCATGTTTTGACTTTAGAATAACCCCGGCCGCCCTCCCCCTACACTGCAAGAGATGATTCAGATGGCGGCGGAAATTGCCGACGGGATGGCCTACCTGAACGCCAAGAAGTTTGTACACCGGGATCTGGCAGCTCGAAATTGCATGGTCGCCCACGATTTTACCGTCAAAATTGGAGGTTTGTCTCGGGAAACTTGCTTTCTACTTCGAAATGCATGACCTAGACCAGGTTTGGTAGCAGAATCTCTTCTGATCATGTCAAGCAGCAGGATTTGGGGTGGGGGGCCCAAGTTTCCAGCTGCAAGTCAACTGCACTTACTGATGAACTCACCCACCTGTTTACATCTATATAAAACATACGTGTGCCTGGTAGGTGCCAGCCACAGCAGTCGTCGCTAGAGATGCAAAAGGAATAAATCACCATGATTTTCTGCCCTCATGAAGCATGCAGTCATTATCTGCACCGCCCGACACAGAATGGTCCTACTGGTTGTGGCCATTTACATTTAAATGAATTGAAATGAAAGTCAACCTTCAGTGACTTTTCACAGCACTAGCCATAATTCAGGTGTTCCATAGTGTACTGAGAATATTGGCCGCCATATTGGTTAGTGCAAATACTGGTGATACCCAGGCCACAAGAAGTTCTACTGGGCTGGACTGCTTCCGATGGAGACAGAAGTAGTTTGCATTTATAGAAATGAGATGGGGAAGTTCCATGTTAGAGAGAGGGAAGTGCTCTCTTGGGAGGAAGGCAATGTGTGGGCCATGACGGGCAGGATGTTGAGAGCCTGTGGAGTGGGGCGCGGTAACGGCCGATGCAAAGTCCGGGAGGCTGGGAGGATGGTCATAGGGTGTGAGTAGAAGGAACGTAGAGGGGACCAGAGCAGCTTGAGATGTGAAGTTGGGCTGAGAGGCAGGAGCCGGACTCCTAAGGGTCTTGCCGGTCGTGGAAAGTCATCCTGCTCTTATCCTGCAAAGCCAGTGGGAGGCAGGCAGGGACAGAAGCGTATTTGTGATCCCCAAAGATGACCTCGTATGTTAACGATGGGAATCAGGAAGAGCTGTGGTCCTCTTTATGGTCCCAAGTGATATTCTCCCACATTAGTGGGAGTGGGGAGGGGTGTGACCCGAGCTATGGCGGCTCTCGAGTGGGGTGGGCTGTCACCCAGCAGGAAGGGTGGGCCCCCCGGGAGGCACGTGGCCCAGCCAGGGTAATGAAAGGAATGGGTGGGCTGGAGGGAGGCGCAGGGGGAGAATGGGCCGGCTCGGCGCCTGTCTTGGATGTGGGATGTGAGGAAAGGGTGTGATCAAAGCACAGCCTGGCTCCAGGCCTCCGGCTGGGCAGCGGGGTAGACAGCAGGGCTCCCTTCAGTGAGGAACCGTGAGTCCAGGGTTCATTTTGAGATGCCTGTCAGAGCACAGATGGGAAGAATGCGTAATTGAGAGTGGAATTCCCAGCCTGGGGCCAGAACGTCACTTCTCTATCACTTGGTGCCTCTCTTTCCCTCCCTGTAAATGCTGACCCACATTCTTAAGGCTGGGCGTGGTGGCGCAGCCTGTACTCCCAGCACTCGGGAGGCTGAGGCAGGAAGGTCGCTGCAAGTTCAAGGCCAGCCTAGGCTACAAAGTGAGCTCAAGGCCAGCCTGAACTGCACAGCGAGACCCTGTCTCAGAAAGACAAAACAAATGCCGGCCCACACTCTCTACACTTTCCCATGAAGGCCCTCCCTGGCTTCAGCTGTCACCCGGGTGAACACGCATCCGAGGAGCAGCTGGGCCACTCTAAGGGCTCTCTGAGGGGAGAAGCAGTCACGATGGCAGATGGTAGGGCCACGGCTGATGGTTGAGAGTGTGTGAACGCTTTGTTTTCAGACTTTGGAATGACCAGAGATATCTACGAAACGGATTACTACCGGAAAGGAGGCAAAGGCCTGCTCCCAGTACGGTGGATGGCACCAGAGTCCCTGAAGGATGGGGTCTTCACCACTTCTTCCGACATGTGGTGAGTTGTGTGTGGGTTGGCGGACGGATGTGCTGGGCTTGAGTGCCCGGTGATCTGCCAGGGCACCAGCACCAGCCAGCGAAGAAAACCTGTTTTCTTCATGTCTCCTCTTTTGGGAAACGAGGGGTGTTTTGTCTGAGGACCTTTGCAAGGTTATCATTACATTCTGAGCGAGAGTGATCTTTCAGGAACTTACGAATTGCAATTGCAATAGGAATCATCTTATTTATTGGCCAGCCAGGTTCTACAAAACAAAAAAAGAGGATGCGTGTGTATTTGATGTTTATGTATTTGTGTGTTTGTGACAGCGTCTGGAAGTGTGTATGTGCATTTGTCTGACTATGTGTCACTGGCTCCTTTGTTAATTACTCTGTCATTGGCAGGTCCTTTGGCGTGGTCCTCTGGGAAATCACCAGCCTGGCGGAACAGCCTTACCAAGGGCTTTCTAATGAGCAGGTGTTGAAATTTGTCATGGACGGAGGGTACCTGGACCAACCCGACAATTGTCCAGAGAGAGTGTAAGTGCAGCAGGGGCATGTGCTATGCAAGATGCTCCTTAGAAAGACATTACCCTTTACGTGTTTGGTTCTGTTTGCATATCATATGTCTACGTGCATGGTTTTGCTCACAAGCTATATGCCCTCTGTGTGTTCGTTTGAATAGGGTGCCTTTACTACATGCTTGTGCTTGCATATCACAAATTATATACAATTTATGTTTATGCATTACATTTTGCACTTGCACTTATGTCTGCAGGCTTGTGTCAGCATATTATGTCTTTACACATGTGCTGTGTTTGCGTAGCACACCTATGTTTGCAAGTTCATAATAAATACTTATAAGCACATTTGTATTTTATTCATGTCTGCATGTGTGCTTGCATTCGCGTCATATCTTTGCATGCACGCTTCGCTTTGCATATCCTGTGTCTTCAACGACGTGCATACATGTGCTTACCTTTGTATATCATATGTCTACATTTATGCATGTGTGCTTTTCTTATGTGTCACATCTTTGGGGGCATTGTACAAGAGAGAGACCTATGTTTTAGTTGTTTTTTTTCTTTATACACTTAAAATTTTGCATTATGTTTTCCCTATAAATATTTTGTTTTAAATTTTTTGTTAGAGAATCAAATGGTCAATACATGCACGTGCCGTGAAGCATTAGAAAAATTGCCTGCCCTTGTTAATGATCCAATAAATGTAAAGAAAATACTACCTTCTAAAATTAGAAAAAAAAAGAGGAAAGAAAGGAAGAAAAGAAAAAAGAAATGAAAAGGAAGAAAGAGTTTTAATAGTCAGTGATAGAAATGGTGTTGCTGGAAGCCAGGCATGGTGGCATATGCCTGTAGTCCTAGCACTTGGGAAGCTGAGGCAGGAAGATCACCTTGAGTTCAAGGCTAGCTTGGGTTCCATAGTAAGTCTAAGGTCAGGGGCCGGGGATATAGCTCAGTGGCATAAACGCCTGCCTGGCAAGTGCAAGGTCCTGAGTTCAATTTCTGGTACCAAAAAAAAAAGTACACCCAAATAGGTAAGTGTTTTATGTTTGGGCCAGGGATATAGCTCAGAGGCACAAGTACCTGCCTGGCAAGCACAAGGTCCTGAGTTCAATTCCTGGTACCAAAAAAAAAAACGTAAAAAAAAAATTACTTTGTAATCCCAGCACTCAGGAGGCTGAGGCAGGAGGATTGATGTAAGTTCGAGACCAGCCTGGGCTACAAAGTGAGTTCAAGACCAGCCGGAACTGCATAGTAAGCCCGTCTCAAAAAGACAAAAAAAAAAAAGGTCAAAACTTATATTAACATATTAAGTGGAAAAATGAGGTAGCTGTCCCACTTCCACATGAAAGATCTGGGATTACAGCTGAAAGAGTTGTGAGTGAGCTATATTTTCTCCATACTGTATTTTTGGGGGTGGTTTTAAACTTTCTACAGGGAGTACTTAGTACATAGAAATTCCTTTGTCATTTTTTATTGAGTTTTGGTTCTTCTGAAAATTTATGGAGGGTGGTCATTTTAATGCCTCCCCCCACAAAGTAAGACATCAATTTGAAAAAACTTCTATGACAAAGTGTGTGAAGTGAGTTATTTGAGAACTCTAAGCAGAATGTTTCCTCATGAAGGACTTTGCCTAACTGTGCCAAGTGGAGCCGGTGTGGGTCCAGAAACAGGGAAATTAAGTAAAGTCTGGGGCAGGCATTTGTGGCCCATGTGGCTTTCTGTTGAAGCTACTCAACTCTGGCGGCTGAAGCCGGAAGGCGACCCTGCGTAGACATTGCAGAGGTGAATAGGTTTAACCACATCTGTGAGCTAGCTTTCCCTTGTGGGGACGCAGTGCTGAGAAAATCAGTTTAAAGGAGGGAAGATTTATTACGGCTCATGGTTTCAAGACGTATCAGTCCATGGTTACTTGGCTCTGTTGTTTCTGGGGCCGTGGTCAGGCAGGATGTCCCGGCAGGGGGCACAGATGTGCCGAAAGAAAGCTGCCCTACTCACGGCAGTCAGGAAGCGAAAGAGGTGAGAGCAGGGAAGCCCAGGGACAAAGATCTCCCTCAAGGGCACAGCCCCAGTGACACCCCTTACGACCCTGCCCCGCATCTTAAAGTTTCCCCCACCTCCTGAGAGCCCATTAGGCTACAAGTCCGTGAGTGGATTAATCCGCTGATGAGATCAGAACCCTCGTGATCGAATAATCACCGCTTTGAAGCCCCTTCCTCCTAGCACCGCTGCACTAGAGACCAAACCTCCGCCCCCCCCCCAAACTTGTAAGACATAAACCATCACACGATGCAATGTCAGACTGTATTTATAAACATACTCTGGGGGCCGGATTTGGTGAGAGGGCTGGTGTTTGCCAGTTGCTGCCCTAGAGGAAATCAGAGTGTGGGCCGTCCGCTCCTGTTCTGTGTGCTGAGTGATAGCCTGCAGGTCCCAGGGTAGCCTGTGAGGTCCAGGGCCCTGCATGTTGGTGGATGCTGGTGGGTCTCCTTCCGGCTGATACCGTGTAGCACACCAGGAAGCTGCTGGTCCCTGACTGCAGCCCCCGCTGCCTCCTTCTGGAGGGGAGGGAGGAGTCTTTAGCATGGGCACGTAGAGCTGAGTCCCTGGGTAAAATCCTCACTTCCACATGAAAGATCTGGGATTACGTGCCACGGCTCAGGCATCCCCACTTGGAATGGCCTTTAAGCCGGGAATTCCTGGTGGGCACAGAGAATCCTTTGAAGCAGCCTCAGGTGGGAGTAAACCCTTATCAAATTCCCAGGTAGTAGGGGGTCAAGGATGTATAAAATGTTGCTTTCTGGAACCAGACAGAGTCCTTCAGGCTTTTCTGTTTGTTTTGGCACCAGAAATTGAATTCCAGGCATTTTGCACTGAGCTACATCCTGAGTCTTTTATTTTTTTTTTATTTTATTTTGAGACAGGGTCTTGCTGAGTTACACAGGCTGGACTTGAACTTTGATCCTCCTAGCTCAGCTCCGAGAGTGCTGGGGTTATGGGCATGCACCGCCAGCCCGGGTTTCAGATTTCTTTTCAACATTGTGTTCCGGCTGGATGCAGTGGTGCGCACCCATAATCCCAGCATGCTTGGAGGCCCAGGCAGGCAGATTTGAAGTTTGAGACTGCCTGGCCAAGCTACCAGACTCACCGAAGTGTGTCCCTCTGTCCCACAGCACTGACCTGATGCGCATGTGCTGGCAGTTCAACCCCAAGATGCGGCCAACCTTCTTGGAGATCGTCAACCTGCTGAAGGACGACCTTCATCCCAGCTTCCCAGAGGTCTCCTTCTTCCACAGTGAGGAGAACAAGGCTCCTGAGAGTGAGGAACTGGAGATGGAGTTTGAGGACATGGAGAACGTCCCCTTGGACCGGTCCTCACACTGTCAGAGGGAGGAGGCCGGGGGCCGGGAGGGAGGGTCCTCGCTGGGCATCAAGCGGAACTATGATGAGCACATCCCGTATACACACATGAACGGAGGCAAGAAGAACGGGCGGATTCTCACCCTGCCTCGGTCGAGCCCGTCCTAACAGCGCCCATGCAGGGAAGGGCTTTGCGTGCTTTTCCACTTTCCTCCGGTGTGAACGCCTCCAGAAAACTCAGGATTCTCAGGACTCGGCCCTGATGTCAAACGGAGCTCAGATTGTTCCCGGACATTTCTGTTCGTCTTTTGACCTAAAGCATGGGGAGGTGATTGCCAGTTGGGCTTGTCGTTGTCGGAGGATTTAACTGTGAACCTAGAGAGAAGGGCTTTCCACAGCTGCTGCCTTTTTTGGCATAAACAGTTTCAAACCAGGACCCTTTTTCTGTTTTTGTAGGAGATTGGGAAAAAAAAAAAAAAGCACCTGTTTTTACAAAGATTTTTTTCTTTTGCTGGTGTCTGAGCTATAAGAGAAATCTTGTTTGTGGAACAAAAGTTGACAAGAAAGGAGACACAAAACCCTGTTCCAGGAGAATTCCAAGCTTGACAGGGTGAGCTTTGAGGAGATATTTTTTTTCTCATCCAGGTGGAAGGATTTTATTTTATTGTATTGTATTTTATTTTTCCTATTCACAAAATCAGCTCCTCAAATTGACCAATAGCTGCTGCTTTCACATTTTTGATAAAGGGTATGCAGTCCCCGTGTGTGTGCACATACACACACGTGCATCGGTGTGCGTGTGTGTCCAGGTTAGAGACTGCTGGTGTGTGCGTGCGTGTGTGTGCGTGCAAAATATTCATGCTGGACTGATGCTTCGGGTATTGGCTCATGAAGGTTCTGCTGTTCGGTATGTTTCAGCTCACATCCTCCTCTCCCCTTCCTCTGTGTTTATGGGAGACTGTGTGCTCCACAGATTCTTCTCCTGTCAAAAATCTTGCCTCAGGTGTCTTCTCTTCCTTCCCTTTGGGGACAAAATGTTTCCCAGGCACCGAGGGAGAAGCATTTAGTTTGGAGTGATCGTCGATCTTTGGAAGCTCAAAAAAGCCACAACAACAACAACAAAAAAAACATGAAAGAAGAAAAAAGGAGATTAAGAAGGAGAAGGAGAGGAGGAGGAGTAGGAAGAGGAGAGAAAAGAATAAAGAGGAGAAAGAACTGAGGTGACAAGAGTATTGAGAGTATATTTGCAACATATTTAATTTTTCAGCCATGTCTGGCTTTAGCGTCGTAAGTTATTGACTATTTCCTGGGTGTTGGGTGGGAGATGGGGAGTGGGTCTGCCTGTAGGGGGCACAGGGAGCGAGGCAGGACGTCCCCCTTGTTTGGTTTTAAAGGCATCTGCTTTCTGGGAATTAAGCCACATTAGCTGCTAACCCTTTCGGACATCATGGAGCCATGTGGAGTATGAGGGCGACTGGGTTTTGTTGACGGTCTGGTTCAGGTCCTAAGGTCTGCTGAAAGCTTCCTGCGCGGAGAAGCTGGTGATTGCCTAGAGCTGAGCCTGCCTTCAGAACCCCATGTTTATCCACTGGTTCTCTGTGTGTACCTTACCTCCGAGGCGCTTCTTCTCCTGGGTTTGAACCCTCTTCAGCTATTATGCAACACAACAAAATCTGGTCGCAAAGACCGACAATGTGGATGGACCTCAAAAAATACGAAGCAATATTAAAGGAGATGCCCTGAGAATACCTGGTGGTGCCCCTCTACTCTTGGGGCATCTGGCCATCCTCAGAACCAAACTCCCAGAGCTACACTGTGCCCAGGGACCGCAGCTGGGCCCGATGTGGTACCTGAGCATATTTCTCAGGTACTTAGGATACTGCAATCCCTAAGAGACTTCAAGTCTGGAGGAGAAACCATCAAAGGCCTTCCCATCAATGAGAACTTCCACATGGATGTGAATCCACTCTTTCTTCTTCATGTGAAAAGAACCACAGCTGCTCAAGTGAAGAATGTGGTGAACCCACTGCTTGGATTCATCCAGATTATCACCCACGGATTGGCCCTGAATGCTTTTTCTCAGACGTGTTTGATTGCTTCCTTCTCTTCTTAAGAGTTGTGGGAAAGACATAATGGCAACCGCCGAGCTCTCTCAATTCGTAATTCAGAACACAGGTAGACACAAATCCCAATTGCATATTGTTATTATTTATATGATTTGAGAAATTACAGTGTGTAAAATATAGGTAGGAAACATTCACGGTGGGTATGAGAGGAGTACAGCAATTATTTTTGCCACAGTTAATTTGTAAATAGAAGAGGGTCTGTATGTAAATTAAAGACACACGTAGATCCAGGTCTTTCGTTCTTTTCGTAGTGAATTTGTAGTGGTCATATACTACAGTAGCAGCAATTTTCACATTTTTCTAATTCAGAAAGGTTTTTCTTATATTACTGGGGGAAAGTATTTATTTTAATATATAAAATCACTCTAAAATCACTTTCGTAAAAAGTAGAGTGCATGTAAATTTTTATCAAGGAAAAATAAACAGGTGAATGTGGGTAATGATTTTTTATCAGCACAGTCTACCTCAGTGTATTGCTAGGATGTGGTTCAATACGGACATCTCTGAGATCACAATTCTGTTTGGATTCAATCTGGGGAAACCGTTTGGATCCAATCAGGGAAAACAGGTATCCGCTGATTTTGAATGCCAAGGTCCAGTAAGGATTCTGAGGGAGGGAGCTGGGATGGAGAAGTTGTAGCCTTCATGTGAACATAAATTCTTTTACTCCTGGCTGATAATATTCTCTTGATTTGATCTTCATTTTAAAAATGAAATTTTCTATCTTTGATACCATGCTCCCTAAACATGAATCAAGTTTAAGGCCAGGAGGATATATCTGATCTGTGCGGTACGTGGTCTATCTCCCTTTGGTGACAGGTCAGTGTCCCCCGGCCTGTTGAAGCCAGGATAAGCTTTGACTCACAGCCAGCACCTCACCGGTCCCACTGAGTACGCTGGGAGTGACCACAGATGTGCCCAGGTTGTCTGATGGTTCGTTTCCACTCCTTTCAGACTGTGATGTTCTCTGTGGGCAGAATGAATTCTGTTCTCGGGCACCTCGTGTATAACACCTGGAGCAATGGCTTATCTTTTTTCTGAGTGGGAAGGAGGCGTTTTGGAAATCCCCAACTCATCAGTATACTGACAACAGAAACTTGGACCCCGTGTGAAGGTTTGGTTGACCTCAAGCTGATGCTGATTGACTTCGGCCCCTTTGAAAGCCCATCTGAAACTCGAGGCAGAGCCGGCAGGGTTGCCGTCACACTCTGCAAACCTCACTGCTTTCATACTCCTCGGCACTGCCCCTTCCAGCCTTACCTACCCTTCTTCACCTGCCCTGGAAGGCAGGAGAGCTCCGGGCCCACCCTGTGCAGATGGGACTTCCCTGATTACATTCTGTCCGCTGCTGCATGGAAAAGAACAGGCGGTGGAAGGGTTACAAATTTCCTTTTGTCATGAGGAAATGTTGATTTTGGAACAACAGAACTTTGGCTGTAGAAAGATACAGGTGTCCTGGGAGGTGTAGGAAGAGGTCACCAAAAAGCCACGAAACCAGACTGGGTTGACACTTCCTGTTCTTCCTTAACAACGTGAAATCCATGCTGTCGTAGTTTCTTCTTGTAGGAGATGATTGCCAAACATGGATCAGTGATGTCAGGTACATACCAGGAAATGCTCACTTGGGGGGAGCTGTCCTAGGTGCTGTTCTTTCGGTGGAAGTTACACGAGGGGAAGCATTGCTGGTTCTCTGGATATAGGCTGAGCACCATGGACTGAAAAGTGGGAACTGATGCAAGGGTCTGCATGTAAAATGCTGTGACTGCTGGGAATTATGCCGCCAATCACCGGACAGATCTCCCACTCTATCCTGCCAAGGCACCGCGGCATGCACGTACTGGGTGGGGAGGTGTTTATTTGCAGCCCGTTGTAACACCAGACACGGGGCAGTTTCATCGTCTGCCCTGACAAGTGAATGGGTGTGCCATTGTCCCAGCAACAGTTATTCTTCTGCTCCATGGTGGGTGGAGCTTTGAGGTTCAGTGTGTTTTGGTACCATCTGGCGAGTCCTTGACACCTCAGGCTCTTCGGAAATGATGGATTTTTTGGGGTAGGGGAAAGATGAATGCTGATTTTCATATAAAGGGTGCACCAAGAGCAGTGCCACCTCAGAATGCTGATTTACAGCAGAGGCAAGGATGGAAAATGGAAGGACAGACCAACAGCTGGTTAGAACACACACACAAATATGATGGACTTCCAGGAGTTGTGACCCAAAGGCAAATGTATCTTGTGGGGTCCCTAAGACATGGGGGGAAGTAATGAGTTTATTGTCACTTTCTGCTAACCATCGAAGTCCAGAACCAGGCTCCAGCCAAATTTTATATAAGCGTGGGCCATAAACATCCTTGACAAAAATGAGATCACGCATCTAGGGCTCCTGGTCCCGTTCGGGAAGGAAGGAATGGCTCCCTGGCGAGTGTGCACTCACGCATACATTCAGGAATGGCTTGTTTCCGCGTTACAGCTCCTTGCGCCTTTTGTGTGCCTGGGTGGCTTCAGCCCTGCGTGTCGGCAGCGCAGGATCCAGTGTGCCCCAGCTTTGGCAGGAAATAACTCGGAAACAAAAAAATCCACCCAAAGCTCAATTATTACTATTTTTCAATGTTTTCCTACAAGAGCCAAGTAGCACCATGTACAGACTATGCCTTTTGTAGAGGGAGGGGAACTGAAATTTTTCTGCATGTAAAATATGGGATAATTACTTGTTTATATTAAAATTCTGAATAAATTCTCTGCAAATGCTCTGGGTTTTGTGTGGCAGCCAGGCTGTCTCGTGTGAGGTTGTGGTTTTAGGGTGGACTGTGTTAAGGAGCCCCTGGGGAAGTTGTGGGTTCTGAGAGGAAACAAATTCCTACACTGTTCAGGGCCAGCCTCCGGAAGTTAGTAACGGCTGCCAGGAGAGCTGATGGTCTGTACAGCCGAACTGATGGCTTAAATACTGTACTGGGGGTGAGGATGTAGCTCAGTGGTAGGGCACTTCCATCCTAGCATTACAGTAACACAAAACAAAGCAAGCCAAGTACATACAGCATGATTTCCATACCAGCTGGCAAGTGCCTGCTTCCCTGAGGGGCCCTAGGCTTCCTCTTGATACAATTGAAAAGGGGTAGGGGCTGGGGATTCAGCTCAGCGGCAAAAGCGCCTGCCTGGCATGCGCAAGGTCGTGAGTTTGGTTCCCGGTACCGGAGAAAAAACAAAAAAAAAGGGTTCACTCTGGGAATGCCAGGAGCTTCCTCCACTCCCAATTGCTGGACACTTTTTGGTAAGTATTTTTAATGTCATCTTGGGATACAGACCTGGATGCAGGGGGGGTGGAACATGGATTAAAAGATCATGCTGGCTACACTGCTTGAGCCTTAAACAGTGTTTAAGAAGGATCACGCCCCCCTTTTGCTCATTGTGTGGCTCTTCACATGTTGCATCATTTCACATGCTAGTTTTTGCTGTGTAACAAACACTTAGCAACTTACAGTAACAGCAAGCATTGATTGTATTACATGCGTCTTAACTAATAATGTAAACATGAAAGTTGTACATATCAGAAGGGTACTTTTCGATGTTCCATATATACATACCTTGCATAACGTCCAAAGAAGGTTAAGCGTATGTATCTTCTCCCACACTGCCAATTTATAGTGAAAGCTTTCCTAATCCTTTCCTCTAGCTTTTTGAATGTATAATACATTTTCGTTGTCTGTAGTCACACTATTGGCAATAGTACAGCAGAGCTGCTTGCTCCTATTGAACTGCGACCCGGTTCCATCATGAGCCTTTCCCAGCCATCCTTCTTCCTCTGTCCTTTTTCAGGTGTCTGATAACCACCCACATACTCTCCATTTCTATGACATCTACTTGATGCGATTTCACATACGAGATCCTGTGTTGTTACTGTCTGGGGCTTATTCCACTAAACACCACGATCTCTAGTTTCATCCGTGTTGCTGCAAACAACGGAGTTTCATCGTTTTTAATGGCCGTGTACCATTCCCACATGTACGTGTACCACATTTGATCTATCCACTAGTCGATGGAGGCATAGTCTCCATTTCTTGGCTGTTTGGAATAGTGCTACAGTGCACACAGGATTGGTAGGTGATTGACATAATTTCATTTCCTATGAATACATACCTGATGATGGGATTACCAGATCAAACGTTTAATCTAATGCACGATGACTTGGTGGATCACAACCTCACTGCTGGGTCTGAGGCTATTGCTGGGACATCTGAGGTAGTTTATCTTCCAGGAGGCTAGCTCAGGCAGGCCGAGCAGGAGGACAAAGCAAGATCCAATGTGTAACTGGGCATGGTGGCGCATGCCTGTAATCCCAGCACTCGGGAGGCTGAGGCAGGAGGATTGTTGTGAGTTCAAGACCAGCCTGGGCTACAAAGTGAGTTCAAGGCCAGCCTGAACTGCATAACGAGACCCTGCCTCAAAAAGACAAAAAAAAAAAAAAAAAAAAGATCCAATGTGTAAACACTTTTTCCCAGCATCAGTTTATGTTGTATTTGCTGCTGTCCTGTTTCCCGAAGTAAGTCACATAACCACGCCCAGAGTCAGATCGACTTGGAACCGGGCCTGCAGTAACCCCCCAGACTTCTTGCTAGCTGGCAGGTGTCACAACCTATATTACGCCTCATATAGAACTGTACGCCCAAGACGTCTTTCCAGAGGGCTTTGCTATGGTCAGAAATCCACAGGACACCAGTGCAGTGGATCCTTTGCTGGACTGACTATACTGGGTCGTGGAGTGGAGCCGCTGTCATGATGCTTTACTAAATACAGTGGGTGCAGGTGTGGACAGACTGGGTGGTGTAGTAGATGCAATGGAGTTTGGAGTGGACTCACTGTAGTGGCAGTGGATGAGCAAACCCTACTGTGGGCGTTGGTAGCATCCATGGTGTTACTAATGGACATTGTGAGGTGGCGTCTAGAATACCTCTTCTGACCCAGCAGTCACTCCTCTAGTGGTCAGGGATGCTGTCTGCTAGAGATATACAGCTGAGTCCTCCTGGGATCTTCCTGAGATTTAAGGAACGTAGTACATCCGAAGTTATGCTCCTCCCTAGAGCTGGTTGCATCTGACAACTGATTAATGTGGATATAGTGGCCTCTGCCCAAGTGTTTGTAATGGGTTAAAAATTACCTATCTATCTATCTATCTTTCTATCATCTATCATCATCATCTATCTTCTATCACCTTTCTGTTTATCTATTGATATATATATATGACAATATAATGACATAGCTATAGATATAGATATATCCCAGAACCTCACAATGTGACCTTATTTGGAAACAGTGTTATTGCAGATGTAATTAGCTAAGATGAGGTCACAATGCCGTAGAGTGGAGCCCTAATCCACTTGACTAGTGCTCTTATAAAAAGGTGAAAATTTCACAGAGATGCACCCAAGGAGATGGCTGTGTGCAGGTAAGAGACCGAGATCTGCCAATGTTTCTTCAAATCAAGGATGTCAGGAAAGATTACCAGCAACCACCAGAAAGCGAGGAGGGAGGGAAAAGCTCTTCCCTGATCATCTGCACAGGAACCAGACCTGCCCAAGCCCCATTCAGGCTTTTAGCCTCCAGACTGTGAGGCAATATATTTCTGCTTTTTAAAGCCTTCCTAGCCTGGGATATTTGTCACAGCATCTCTGGAAACCTGATTCAGTGTAGGGCAAATCTGATGAACCGCCACAACTTTTAATCTCCTGTGGGATCAGGTAAGGCTTTGGTTGCAGTTGCAGGAAGTTTAATTTCTCCCTCGGCTCAGGTTTGTTCATCTTTAACCCTTACGGGTGTTGATGCCAAGGTAGCACAGATAAACTTACTGCATATAAACATGCATCTTTGTTTACTGCTGTGCAACAAACACCTCCAATACTTAGTGGCTTAAGACAGCAACCAATCATTATTTCTCAATTCTGTGGGCCAGGGAAGGAGTTGTTTTGGTCTAGGCGGGCATGTGATCTCCTGGAGCTGACTGATTGGATGGCCACTTGCCTGCTTGGCGATGGCTTGCTAGGGAATCTCTGAGTTCTGCCCCAGGGAGCTTAGTCTACCACAGCCAGAGATATTTGCACCTCAGGAAGTCTCTCTGTCCTGTATATAGTAGTTGAGCCACCGGGGATTGTGAGGTTTCCAGGGTTACACAGCCAACAGTGCTTTGTTTCGTAGCCCTCCAGGTACCTCTGCTACTCCAGCCTTAGGCAGGGACAAGGAACTCACCGTGTGGTCACAGAGAAACAGGATGTCAGCTGTCGAGGGCAGAGGAACCAGGGCTTCACGGTCCAGGGTATCACTGAGGTATGAACTGACAACAAGGCTTCCATGTTAGATGATGGGAATTGGACAGTGGTTCACTGGCTGATCTTAGGCGACTCACTAAACCTCCCCAAGCTTCTGTTTCTTCATTTTTCAAAGAAGACCATCATGGACTTGCTCTTGTAGAATTATTATGGGATGATGCTGGAGAGCCTGGACAGGCATTAAGCAAAGACCTTGGTGCACGGGATGAGATCAATACATGTGAGCAGTCCTCGGACGCTCACTACTGATCAGTGCACGTTTCTGAGTCCAGTGAATGAGTTTCCTGGTCTTCAGGACTGTTACATGAGCCTCACCCGGTGTGATGCTCAGTGCACCTCTAGATGGGGGTCATGAGTCTCAGGGGGTTGAAGGAATGCTGTGATTTGTGATTCCCTTTCTGTCCTGTCATACTGAGGTACTAGCTTTGGTAGTTGTATAACTGGTGATTGTGTCAGTCAGCTTTCTGTGGCTGTGACAAAATACTGGAGGAAAACAACCTAAAAGAGGAAAACTATTTTGGTTCATGGTTTCAGAGCTTTCAGTCCATGTGTGCTTAGCCAGGTTGCTTTTAGGGCCATGGTGGAAGTGTGAAGTGGATCAAAACTCACCTTTTGGGGACCAGGAAGCGAAGAAAAAGAGGAAGTGATCAGAGGAGCAATAATTACTTGGAGGCCACGCCCACGATGACCTCACTTCCTCCTGCTAGGCCCCACTTCCTAAGGTTTCCACCTTCTCCCATAGCGCCATGAGCTGAGGCCCAAGCCTTCAACACATGAGGCCTTGGGCCCTGTCCACACCCAAAGTACAATGGTGATTATTGTTTACATCGTAGCCATCAGTGGGGTCCTTTGAGAAACGGTTGCAGACCCCGCTCTGCTGCTGTAGAGTTCCGCTTTGCTCTGTAGCGTGAGCAGCGAAGCAGCCGGGAAAGTGGAAAGCTTTCCTCTCGTTTACCATCCATACTCCGTAACCAGCCCTCAGGATCCGATGACGTCACACTGCCATCGCAACTCTTTCAGGCACCGCATGTCCATCAGGATCGCCTGCCTTGCAAACACAGCAAATGCCCACTCCTCATACCGATGACTGTAAGATATTCCCATTTTCTTGCATTTGTTTTGTAGCTATTTTCTAATGAATACTATGACCCGGGACCTTCAGTGTAGGATGATACAGGGGATGAGAATTTCATTTGAAGTTTTGTAGTTTTCTCTTCGCACCCTCTGATTATCCCGAGAGAGAGAGAGAAATCCCTTCCTTGAAGCCAGTTTGTATTCCAGGAAAGGTCAACGTCTGAAGGCTACAAAATAAAAAGTACTGGCTGCCTCACGGGTGGCTGCCCTCCCTTCAAATGGAAAAGGAAGTTTTTGGTTTGTAGGTTTAGGGTGGGGAAACACTGCCACCTTCAGGACGTATTTGGGGATCACAGG